GCAAAGAGGACTGAGCGTGGGTTGTGTAGGAGTTGAAGGATGTTCTATGAGAAGAGAGGGGAAGTATAGATAGTTTACTGATCGCTGAACTTCTTCAGCGATCCTTGATTGTTGTCAGTAGCGAGTGATATATTCAGTAGCTACATCTTCGAGTTAAAGAGAGCTACCACCCAGCAGTTTTACGAACTACGGCTAAATTAGCCGCAGTTCCCCGACGACCACCTTATCGTTTTTCCATCACTCAGCGACCCACTACGGCGAAGTTAGCCGTAGTTCCCCGCCAAGTATCCTGTCTCAGTGAGACATCGACACCCCAGCACGACGTAGTTAGCCGAGGTTTGTCGACCGTCGGTCAGTTGAGAAGAAGAAACGACGTTTTTGACAAAAGAGGTGTAACATGTAACATGCATATAGTGACAGCAGTATGGCAGATGGATTGAGATTTGAGGTGGAGGTGATGGGTGGGAAATCAATTTCATCCGTGGACTTCTCGTCGACCGTACCACTCTCCCTTCTCACCAACCAACATTCCGACCGGTTCTTGTAAGTCAATGACCTGATGATCCGGCCGGCTGCTGACGATTGAATTAAGACTGTCAGAGTGATGCTGCCCCACGATGCATGCTTCATGCTGCTTCTTCGTCGGTTCCCCACGTTGATGTCCGCATCTTTGCAACGTGCCATCGACATCACTTCAGGGCGAACTTTGCATGTCGCATGTGTCGTCCAAATTACATGTGAGCTCATGGTGTGGTGAATCTAACGAGAAATCTAGTCAACAACTCACGATCTTGGCACCCGAAAAAGTCATGGGAAGCCGTTGCAGCTGCTTGACGACACCATTGTCTGAGACTCATCCCTTGCAGCAGATCCTAGCCTACCCAGAACTCGAAATTCCTCCTTTCCCTTCCGACGACTTTCTTGAACGTGACTGGGACTATGTGGAGACCTCAAGCTCTCTACTTTCGGCCTCCCCAAGCTTCCCTCGTCTTTTTGTCCATTCCAACAAAGCCATCGATGATATTCTCCCCAAAGCCCTGTGGACCCTTTCTGCCAGGGTCAAGGCTCATCCCATGACGTACCGAAGGTTCTCTTATGACCTTATCTCTGCAACCCGCAAAGTCGCCTCTCGAAGCTCAAGGATGAATGACCCCCGCTACTGCCACATACCGGAATACCACTCACACGTATACTTTGACGGAAGCAACTGGGTTGTCTGGCAAGATATCACCCCTGTACGACAGAATGAGAGGGGCATCGCTCCACTTCGACGCACATGGAAGATGGAGCGCGAAAGTTTTGGGGAAGTCTCATTCTTCCGGGGGGTTCTATGGGACCGGATAGGACGAACATCTAGGAAAGCTCTGGCCGTATTGGAAGAGGAAGATATCTGTTCAGCACCGGAGACTGTGTTTGAAGCGACTGTAGCCTCAATACTCACCGGAAAAGTAGTTATCGATGACAGTGGTCGAGCTACTATAACCGATACCAAAGTCCGGAACGAGCTTGGGGTTTACATGGTAGACCGAGTCCAGCGACTTCTGACCCATGTGAGTTTCTCATCTCCCGAAATAATCACACAACATTCCGACTCCCAGCCCAATCATGCCACTGTATTGACTGCTGTAACATGTAACGCCGCTGATTTCAGGGATGGAGCCAAATGTTTCATTACCAAGTACGACTGTGTATCATCACCACTCACCAGTGCACTATCGTCCTGTATCTAGATAAAGGTCGAATAGAAGTCAGCGACCTTTTGCGTCGTGGACAAGGGACATTAAACCGGCCTTGTCGATCTCTGTACCCTTTGATCATTGCTGTGAAAGCTTCCGGCGAAAAAACGCTCAAGCTTCCTCCCGAGTACCTGATGAGACCCATGGTCAGAGATCCGCTCTTCCTCGTCAATGATCTGTGGAAGTGTCAGCCACAACCTAGTCAGCCAGGAAGTGTTGAGCACCACTGGTGGAAGCGGCCATATCGACCTTATGAGGGAGACAAGAAGCCGGACTATGACCTCTCCTTCACATATACTCCTCTCTCCAAGCCTCACCTCTCACACCCAACTGTGTCAACTCGATTCACGCAGCTAGGCGAACAAGCGAGCTTGGACGAAGTGCGTGTTTTGAACTTCTCACATCAAGATGTGCTGACGATAAAGCTAGGTGCTCCATCTCTACACCTGACTCCATCCCCCCAATACGACTTCAAGCGGATTAAGGAATACGATGTTTCGCACTCGCTCCTTGAGGTTCGCAAATGGCCTGATCTCCTCCATGGACCCGTCGATCTCCGTCGCCTCCAAGTCAAGGGTCTCCCTGAGCTCATTGAGGGCCCTACCGTGACACCAACGGTGCTGAAGCAGCCGCCGGTTGTCGATCGAGACGTTAAGAGACCGGATCTGATCTTTCGCCCACAATCATTATTACTGGATGACTCGATCGCTTTCGGCGCTCTATGGGACGTCTTTCGAGTCACGATCCCAATCAACTCTGGACTGTCGCGACCGCCTTTTCCTCTCGTGGGCAAAATCCTCGCGATTGACTGCTTCAAAACGACGATCACTCTTCCCATATCGACCGCATACAATCCATTCCGTCGGGCTCAGATCTCACAATCCCAAGCCCGAGAACATATTCGGAAGGATTTCGAAACTCTGTCTCGACTCTCAGAGATACTACCACCAGTTATTCCACAGATTATGGGCCTATGGGGTGGGATTCAGCGGGGCAAGGAAGCGTGGGTGGTTATCATGGAAGATGGGGGAGAGCGTGTAGATGAAAACTACCCACCTGATCGTCTAGAAGAGTGGGATGTTGCGGATAAGTCAGTAATCTTTTTAATCTCCTCCCATCACTGGACATGATCAGCGATTGTTCATCTGTAAGCTTATCCACTCTGGGCGTGTTTGGATTATGTGTTCTACAGACTAATGTGCAGGAATGCTATCATCGCCCTATATGCTCGCCTGCATGATAACGGTATACTCCATGGTGATGTGCAGAAGCGTCACTGGCGCCGTCGGCGTGAGGACAAATCCGATCCTTCCGCTATACGACTCATCGATTTTGACAGAGCCATCTTCAAATCGACTGTTTCCGAAGAGAAGTGGGTAAAGTACAAGAGAAGAGAGCTCGGTGCACTTAAACGAATCTTCTCGAAATACAATTATGTCTCTACATACCCACCTCTTCCCCCCTCTGTCGACTTAGAAGCCGATGATGTCACTGGCACGACTGATGCTATCTACCCTCTCGGGTATGTTCAAGGCAAGGAACCTATGCAGTGAGTTCAATGTACGGAGTCGCTAGTATGCTGACCCTGTCAGCCTTGACTATCGATGGTCCGGATACAGCAGTCACCCGTCGAGATTTCGTGATTCAGACTCTCTCTCGTTTGTTACACCAACCCCTCTGGTATGAGCACCTCTGCATCCCCGGCCATGATGGTTTCTCACATTTCACACTGGATCGCTTTATGATATTCCTCGCCCAGAGGCATCCCCTTGCCGACAATTGCCTCAACTGTCTCTCCAACCCTTGGATTGGCGGCGACTTCCGTACGTGTCTCTATGCAATCGAGAGCGTCACATTCTGCAATCGATATGCGATCAACCTTCTATCCCCGCAATCAGGCGTACTCTACTCTAGCTATGCGACCACTGGTCACTGGCCTCGAAAGAAGGGCTTCTCTTATCGACCTTCGCAACCATCAAATAGCGGATCAAACGGGTACACGACGTCGACATGCGGCCTGGGGTTCGAAGCATCGCTACTTTCCTACTCCCTTCTTGAGCCCCACATCCATAGACGTCTTTACCCGTTGCCCAACCGGTAGGTGGTCTTGTTGTTGTACAAGTACGGTAGCTGATCATCTCTTTGACAGGTCAACATCGATACTATCTGCGCTCTCACGAACATGGGTGGCCGAAGTATCTGCTGGGTGCACCCAATTGATGAAGTCGCATTAGCCCACCATTGAGTCAATCCTCACATTCCCCGAGATGATTCCTCACTATGCGTTTCCAACCGTATCCGACAAGAATGTTGGTGGGGACTGGGCCTGTATACTCGTGCGTCATCCTCCTTGCCTTGCTTCTGAGAAGACCCATCTCCTTCAACTTACTTCTGAGAGGGACGAAAACTGACAGGCAGACATGAGGCTGCTCGCTATGAATTCCATATCACTTCTACGGTGTTCTTCTTCCAATCCACATCCCATACCGCCTCGCCACCATCCCTTTTCGACAGCGTCCAAGCCCTACCACACTCCAAAATGCCCAAGAATTTCCTCTCCAAGACAGTTGCTCGACTCAGTCGTGCCGTTTCCCCCACTGCTCCAACACCACAGATGACCAATCTAGCCGCTTCCACTCCTTACTCTCCAACAACTCCTGAGCCCGTTGCAGGGGCCGAGCCCGTGGTCGGCCACGACGACTCTCCTATCGTACCCTTACCTCGGCATCCACCGAAGAATGCCCCGCGCCTACGCCGAGTTCCTATCTCCCAATCTAGCTTCATGGAACTGGCGCTCTTGCGCGATGTCCAACTTCTAGTCGAAGAGGATTATCGCGATGATAAACCCGCTCCTGTCGATAAAGTCCTGTCCAAAAGTCTCTTCACCCTCGTTCCAAATTTCCCGCTGTTTTCAGGTGTTCGTCCCGAGTTCATAAGTATGTTTCTAGAGCCATTACTCACTGATTGGACGACCGAGATAGACAGGACGAACAACGGCCCGGCTGAAGTAGAAAAATGTCGTCGTGTGTTGGACTGGAACATTGCCGAATCGACCAAGACAGTGAAAGGGTACGAGGACCTTGTAGATTTCGCCATCGCCACTTACTTGCCCTGCGTGAATGAACTTTTCTCGAAGTTTCCCAATGTACACGGTTTCACACCCAACTGGCAGCAGACAAGCACCACACAGATCAAGATATATACCCAAACATATTCACTCAAGCCGATTCTCGGTCTCTTTTTCATCCAAGTCCGTAGGCCGGCGAACCTAGCGTACGCCATCTTGGATTTTCAGACAAAACGACAAATTCCTAACAAGGTCTGTGATGCCATCGTGGAAGTATTTGAGAAGGGACGACTGCATATGAAGGAGTCGGGAAATACCGATCTAGATGACAGGGTCAAAAAGGACTACGGACCAGGTGTCATGGACAGCATGAAAGAAGCTTTGAAGCGAGTGAGTGTTCCTCTTAACAACATTGGATTCGTACAGAAGTGGTTCTTCAATATGCGTACTCGTACTGAAAAGTAGATCTGGTGCTATATGCGAGCGAACAAGTGCCGTTTAGGGATTTTGTCTACACAAGAGAATACCCTGGTCTTCTACTCCATCGACGGTAGACTCCGACTGCTCACAAGACTCAAGTATGGTCAGCCACATCCCCTCTACTCGTGCAGAACCCTCTTGACCTTGCTCGTCTCTGTCTCGCTCTTAAACCTCCGCGACTTCGTCCTCCCAGACCCAACGCCCGAACCAGATATATTCGGCGAATTCGGGATGCGTCCATTGAACAGGGGATATGAAGACTATTAAGAATAATTCTCACATATGTCTCTTGAGTAGGAGTAAAGAAAGAGTGGGGATGCCCAACGGCGGGTGAAGCAAGAGATACGCGATCTTACTACATTGGACTTGGGAAGTACGAGAGCCGGGTAAGTAGATATGTTTTGACTAGGGCCGAAGATCGAAGAACAGGGAGAAAAGGCGTCAGCTGTGTTTACCCTACCCCAACCAAGACTATGTCAGTTTGTGATGCATGTTTATCGCTGTATTCTTCGTTGGTATCACTACCACCTGTCATACTCGTAGTCGTCCACACGAGTAGGAACACACTGTCTTCTCACATCAAACGCTGGCCTCGGATCAATGCGGGTCCTATCAACTATGACCTACTGCATGCTTGTTGCATGCATCATTCCCACGTTTCTTGACGCCCCTTCCAATTACCAAAATGGTAAGCGACGTCGATGCTGCATGCTGCATGCTGCTAGCCTGCTATTCAGTCAGGTGATGTGATCAACTACTGTCTCTTGAGTCTCCCTCCATACAACAAATTCCTACTTCAACAGGTATGGGGAACCTCTGCAGCTGCACCAAACCGTCAAAACCACCTCGGTCCTCCTCATCGAAGGAGCGAATCCTGACATTCCCAGAATTCGAGTACCCACCAGGCCGATTCGAACCATTATATGAGCGTACATGGGACTACGTTGAGACTTCTCCCACTTTGCGGGCAGATTTCCCTGCGTTTCCCCGCCAGTTCATCCACTCCAACAAGGTGATAGATACCATTCTCATCAATACCTTTCGGAAATTGTGCCATGACATCGATGCCGACCCTGAAAAAACGCAACACTTCTCTGTGCATCTCGCATCCGCAGTGCGAGCTGCAGAATTGGAGAAGGTTTTCTATGCTCACCCGGCACGAAAACTTCATATACCAACCTATCATGCGGATTATTACTTTCATTGGACCAGCTGGGCAACCTGGCAACCCTCCGACCGTCGTAACCCAGGAGACACTACTGATGTTACCGACTACTCGCTTCAACCACGTCGCGAATGGAAAGCCAAGACAGATTCCTTCGGAGACGCAGCATTCTTCCGAGGATTACTCTGGGAGAAAGACGCCAAAGTCAAGTACAAAGAGCATGTGGTGGCCATCTTAGAAGAGGAGGAAGACTCCAAGACGCCGGCATCAGTGTTTCAGGCAGTCATCGATGCGGCTCGAGGTACTGCAGTGGTCATCAATGACGATGGTCGAGCAGCTATAAGTGATCAGAAAGTGAGAACCCGGCTTGGTGTGGACATGGTGGACCAGGTTGAAAGATTTATGACCAATGTAAGTAATAGTAGTAATCTGTATCCACCCTTCCAAGTCGACACTGCTGAAGGACAGGGATGGTGTCAAATGCTACACCACCAGGTCAGACTGTGTATCATCACATCTCACGAATGTTCAATCGTCCTCTATATCAATAACGGTGGTCGTATCGAGGTGAGCAAGCTCATGCGTAGGGGCGAAGGTAGTTCCAAACGACCATGCTATTCCCTGTATATCTTGCTCATCACCGTCGCTGCGATGGACAGAGAGGCGCTCCGTCTACCCGCCGAATACATCGTCAGAAGTCCGACCGAAGAGTCTGATCCCCGTCATGGAGATGTGTGGTCCTGTCGAAAACCCGCCTCATCGAGTGAAAAGCTGGACGAACCATGGTGGAGAGAGCCTTATCAAATTTACGAAGGAGACAAGGATCCTGTGTTCGATCTGTCCTTCGACTACACCGGTCCATCAGATCCTTATCAAGTCATGAGGGTCACCACTAGTGAAGACTCCTCACTACAGGACATGGCAACGTTAGATCAGGTGAGTATCAGAGAGAACAACTTCCGCAGGGTAGGTTGCTTATGAGATAGATTGGCCCTCCATCACTCCATCTAACCCCTTCGTCGGAATACGACTTTCAGCGTGTCAAAAGCTACGACGTCTCCCATTCTCTCATCAAAGTTCGCAAATGGCCTAATCTTCTCCATGGACCTATCGATATCCAGCGTCTTCAGGGCCAGGGATTACCTACCCTTACTCATCCTCCCGACTCGAAACTCCTCAGCTTAGATCATCGAGATACAAAATCATCACGACTTGATGCCAATAATCCTGTCAAATCTTCCGAATACATCTTCCGTCCTCAGTCTTTGATCCTGGGTGAAGTGATCTCCAATGGAGCATTGTGGGATGTTTTTCGTGTTACCGTCCCTGCTCATTTACCCCAACCACCCTTCCCTCTCATCGGGAAAGTTCTTACCATTGACTGTTTCGAAGTGACCGTTACACCTTCCACAAAATGGGACCCGACTGCCAGAGCGGAAATCTCACAATCCGAGGCTCGTGAACACATCAGAACCGAATATCAGGTCTTGACCAAACTCGCCAATATAACTCCACCTGTCATACCGAAGATCATTGGTTTATGGGGTGGTATACAGCGTGGTAAGGAAGTATGGGTGATGGTGATGGAAGACGTCGGGAATCAGTTGAACGAAGGAGTTGGTAGTGATGATTCCCACTATGATTCACGTGAAACGAATCGAGAGGAGAACAGGTGAGTACGATTACATTATAACACTCCTTGTACACCATTCCCAGTTATACGAATTTTGTCAACCTGGCAAATTCCAAGACCTCAGATTCACGGATATAATCACCCCTTTCCTTCCCAGCATCTCGCCGACACTCCCGACCCCCCGTCCAGGTCATGTGCGGTTTCGAACCGCTTTGTAACTTAGTTTTCATCTCGTCGGAGATTTCGATACAGAAAGACGGACGAATAACTCACCCCCAGAACTGCAATCCTGAACCTATACGATCGTCTACACGAAAACGGGATTCTTCACGGAGACGTTCAGGTCCGTCATTGGCGTCGGCGGGCCGATGATCGAAACGACCCATTTGCCATTAGATTGATTGATTTCGACAGAGCGATTCTCCGTTCTTCCGTCCCCGAGGAGACATGGGAAAAGTACAAGAAAAGAGAAAAGACCAGTCTGAAGGGAGCGTTATCAGATTACGATTACGTCTTCCGTTTCCCACCCTTACCATCTTCCACCGCAAGTTCGGTCGTGGATGACGATAAAGCGATGAGTGAAGCACCGTATCCACCTGGATACGTGCGTGGTAGAGAACTTTATCAATATCTGTGAGTTCACATACTCTGGTGCCGGTATAGAATTGATGGAGTAGGTACGACTTTCCGCCCTTCGACCCACTAGGCTATGCGAGCTTCAGGCCAAAGTGGCTGCAACGCCAACGAGAATTGTGACCTCTATCCCTTTCATTTCGAATTTGGTGACATGCATGTTGTGACAATCGGTTTGGCATCCTGGTGATCGAAGCTACCGAAGCACACACTGTCAGAACCTATGTGCACGAGTAAAGTGACCGCATGGCCGAAATATCGGGGTACCCAGTGAATGTGGCACTGCCACCGGCCTTTTGCCACGTGCCGCATTCCACCGCCACATCATCCGGTGTGAGCTTAAAACACGACGTTGTGGCTCGAGTAACGATGCGAGTACGATACTTTCTCTGCGCGCTCAGCACATAATCTCCAACGTATCAAATACGCCCATCATTTACATCCGTTCTCCTGAGGATGCGACTAGTATCTCGAACAGATTGTCCACTCTTACCTCGTCGGCCCGAGACGGGAAGTACAAATGGTATGGGGACCGCATTGCACATGGCGTGCGCTCTACTCACGTTGAAAACCGCACGTCAACAACGTGGAATGATAGATGACGCGTCGAGTAATGTATGGTCTATATGTGAGTAATCTACTCCTGTTCAAGTGATCATCTGCCCTCCGGACAAGTCATGGGTGGTCATTTCAGTTGCTTGAACCCTCCCAAACCCCTCACTTCGAACGCTTTGAACCAAATCTTGTCTCTCCCTGATGTCGAGGTTCCTCCCTCTTCCAAGTCTCTTCCTAGCCGTACATGGGACGACGTGGAGACGTCTGGTACTCTTATAGAGACTTTTTCTGCTTTCCCTCGTACCTTCTCTCACTCCAACGAATTCGTAGACGTCATCTTGGCAAACCAACTGCGACACATATGCGCTCAATTCGACGCCGACCCAAAGATGATGGAGTATTTCGTACACGGACAAAAGAAGTTGCTGAGAAAGAGAGAGTCTTACTGCCAGAGATCGTATCATGTTAACGACGATCCAATGTTCTATTATCTCTGGGAGGTGATGTTTCCCCCTTGGGACTATGATTGGCTCCCTTCGCAAAGGGAAGACGATGCCGAGTGGAGGGTTGAGCGAGAATGGTGCTTGTCCCGATATACAGTCCGGCTTGCTAAATTCTGTCGAGCTCTTATGGTTGATCGATTCAGCTTGGGGGACATCAGGAAGACAGAATGTCTCGCCGTTTTGGAAGATACATCTGACATCAAATCACCTCTCATCATCATGGAAGCTTTAGTGCAGGCCGTCCGCACCGGCATCGTAGTCATCGACGACAACGGTCGAGCAGCCATTACCGATGGAAAGACGCGGGACCGACTCGGAATTGAGATCGTCGACGAAATTCAGCGTCTCCTGACTCATGTAAGTTCCCTCTATAATCCCTTCTTCACGTCTCGTACGTATGCAAAGTTGTCACCTGAGACGAACAGCGGCAAGGTCGTTGATGAACAGGGATGGTGCCAGTTGCTACACTACGAAGTGCGGGTCTGTATTCTCACGAACCGCGAGTGCACACTCGTTCTGTACATCGATAACGATTGTGTCGAGGTGAGCGATGTGTTACCTCGCTTCCAGGTGATAGCGACGCAGCCATGCCGGTCACTCTATCCTCTTATCGTAGCATTGTTGGGATCGAGCAAGGATCGCCTATCCCTGCCGGATCGATATAAGCTCAAATCTCCGGAACCGATTCATCATGTAGGATTGTGGCGTTGCCGTTCCACACCTCGGTTTGGTCGAGCACATGAGCAACACTGGTGGAAGGGACCTTGTCATTTTTACGAAGGAAATAGCGAACTGAATCATGATTTGTTGTTTGATTTTGCCTCTCCATCGAACTCCCTGGATACCTCGGCACCTATCAGTAGCCACGATTTACGTCTAGGTGGACAAGCACTATTGGATAAGGTAAGCCGTGTTCAATGATATCGTGCCACACGCTGATAGTACAGCTTGGTCCTCCTTCGCTGTATATCATTCCCTCTGCCGAGTACACTTTCATGCGTGTACGGGCGTATGACGTGTCTCACTCCCTTTATAAAGCTCGCAAATGGCCCGACCTACTACATGGACCCATCAACGCTTATCGTCTTGACAAGGAGGGCTTACCCCAACTTATCCCCAAACCTGACCAAGAGACAACGGGTTTTTCTCGACCTACCCCACGTACGTTCACATCGGTCGACATTCACTCGAATGGGCATATTTTCCGTCCACAGACCTTGATCCTCGGCGAAGTTATTGCATATGGAGCTTTGTGGGATGTGTTTCGAGTGACCATTCCCCCCCAACTGCCTCAACCTCCTTTTCCTCTCCTTGGTAAAGTTATTGCAACAGAGTGCTTTGAAGAGAGTGCCAGCTCTCGATTCAACTCGAGCCTCTTTGCTCGAGCTGATGTCTCTTCGGAAGGGGCTCGCCGACATATATGGAACGAATTGCAAACTCTCTCTCGATTGTCCAAGATTGACCCACCTGTGATACCCCGTATCATGGGCCTATGGGGTGGTCTTCAAAGAGGTAAAGAAGTGTGGGTGCTTGTCATGGAGGATGCTGGGGAAGAGCTGGACCTATTCAATTCAGAAGACGCTTCTGTTCAATCTTACGTAGCAGAAGCTGACAGGTGAGTGTGCTCGTATCACCATCGACATTCTCTGATTCAAACGACGACCTGACAATCCCATGAGACGAAGTCATAACAACAACCTGAATTGTGTATCCCTGCGCAACTATGTTGGCCATAGACACCCCGAGTCCTTGTACGACTAAGCTTATGCCGTACATACCGATAAGATTCGATGACTAATGATCAGAGCCGCTATCGTCAGCATGTACGATCGTCTCCACGAGAATGGAGTTCTGCACGGGGATGTTCAGCCACGACATTGGCGTCGCCGCCTAGTAGACAAATCCGATCCCACCGCTATCAGATTCATCGATTTTGATAGAGCCATTCTTCGATCGTTTGTCTCTGAAGCGATGTGGGAAAAGTGTAAGCGAAGGGAACGAATAACCATCCAGAGTAAGATCACGGGTGATCATAATTTGACATATGATTTCCCCTCCCTTCCCTCATCCGCTACAAATTCGGATGTGAATGACGATACCGGCACGGTTGAAGCCAGATACCCATTGGGATATGTCAATGGGCGGGAACCATATCAGTGAGTTTCAAAGCCAACGCTAGGTGAAGACTGACTTGTGCAGCTCCTATGGTCTGCAGAACTTTGAACCACTTGGATACGGGAGTTTTCAATCCCCATGGCTTGCTCTGACTCAGATTTCCCATTTCGCATGATTCTGGTCTTCTTCCCCACGATAGCCGCATGCAACATCTATATTCATATCTGTTCTACACCCTCTGGCACTAAAACCAAAATCCCGCAAGCCAATGACACGTCAATGGCAGACAAGTAGGTAAGGGATGATGGGTCTTCCAATAGTAGATACGCACCGCAGTGTCCGTTGGCTGGCTAATGGAGTGAGCACAGTCCACCTAGTTTCGTTCATGATAGCTGCCATAACCAAGCGGGTCAAAGACGGGGATATCGTCACTGTCTCAGTAAGCCTTTGATGAGATCTTGTCATGGCAACTCACAGCACCGGCACCTGGCCCCTCACGTATCCGAGTGGGTACACAGCCTCTGTCATGCACCTAGAGTCGTCCACGTCTGAAACCCCAGACAAGGGAAGAGGTGGGAAACGACGTCGATAATCGTAACTGGAAAGTATACCCTTGAGAGTCGTCTGTTCCCTCTTCTTGTACTTATTCCATGTTTCGTCAGACACTGAAGAACGGAGGATCGCCCTGTCAAAATCAATGAGCCTGATTGCGGACGAGTCAGAATAGTCTTCGAAGCGACGGCGCCAATGACGCATTTGAACATCGCCGTGGAGGATACCCTGTTCGTGCAAGCGAGCATACAGATTCAAGATCGCTTCTCTGGTGGTCAGTCGGGAGAACATGATATACCAGATTGAACAGCTTGGTTCGGAGTGTAAGACGACACAGGAATAACGGAGCGGAGTATCGAATGAGAGCGCAGGGGGAGAAGGAATGGTGGGAAGCATGAATAAGCACCGAGCCCTGCAGCCACTATGCAAGCATGTGTCATCCCTGAAAAAGGAGCCGAATGCTGAGGGATGGTGCCAGAGAAACAGAGCTCACTTATCCGACTCTTCTTTTATTGCGTCCGAGGAATGCGTTTCTCCCTCTCGTTTGTTGAATCGCTCTCCGGCGTCCTCCATGACTATCAACCAGACCTCCTGGCCTCGTTGGATACCACCCCACAACCCTAGTATCTTTGGAGTCACCGGTTGCTCCATCTCCGACAGTCGAGACAAGATCTGACATTCCTTACGAATATTTTCACGGGCCTGCACTTGGGAAACTCGAGCTCGAGCGAACGGGTTGAATGAATCTGATGGGGGACTGGCGACCTCGTTGAAGCAGGAGATAGTGATGACCTTGCCGACTAGAGGGAAGGGCGGCTGAGGTAAGTGCGTGGGAACTCTGATCCGGAAAACGTCCCAAAAGGCACCCATCCCAATGGTTTCAGCCAGCATGAGCGCCTGAGGGCGAAACACATGGGATGTGGAGAGGCGGTCGGGTGATGTATTGACAGGGTTCTCCTTGAACGTAGTTGATGCTTCGACGGGGAAATTGATGAGCTCGGGGAGCCCGGGTCCATCTATGCGACCGATGTCGATAGGACCATGTAGCAGGTCGGGCCATTTACGAGCCTTGAGGAGAGAGTGGGAGACATTGTATTCCTTGACACGCTTGAAGTCGTATTCTGCCGAGACTACGATGTGCAGGGATGGGGGACCAATCTAGTCCATTAGCTAAAATGTAACACAGTCCAGTTGCTTACATCATACAAAGTCGCTTTTTCCTTCACGCACCCCATGTCCTTCCCTGCGCCAGAATTTGCTCCCCACGAGTGTGGTCGAGATGTGTAATTGAGCGAGAAATCATGAGCCGGAAGTATGTCGCCATCGAAGCGGTGATAGGATCCCTCCCACCATGGTCGCTTTTCGTTTTGATTGCCCACAAGCAGGGTTTTACATTGCCACAACCCAGTTGAAGAGAAGTCGTCGCTTGAGGATCGTGCCTTGACAGAGTATTCGGGAGGCAGGCGGAGAACGTCTTCTCCGGCTGCGGTGATAGAGATGAGCAACGGAAAGAGGGACCGGCAAGGTTGCTTCGTCGTTCCTTGCCCTCTTTGCAGGACATCACTCACCTCCACCTGACCGTGATCGATATAGAGGACGATTGTGGACTCATGACTCGTGATGATACAAAGACGAACTTGGTTTTGAATCATTTGACACCAGCCCTATCATATCAGCGCTTCCAAACCGACTCATAGCAGAAACTCCAGGGGTAGGACGTAGTCTATGCAATGGACACTCAGAGGAAAGTGCGACTCACGTGTGTCAAGATCCGTTGAACATGATCCACCATATCCGGTCCAAACCGTTTCCTCGTCCTCAAATGGGTGATCATGGCTCGCCCATCGTCGTCAATGATGACATTGGCGGTGCGGACTGCTTTGACGACTGCTTTGAACACAGCGGAAGGGGTCCAACAATCTGCCTCCTCCTCCAGGATGGCAAGTACCAACTCCGGTCCGGTCTCTGTTATTCCGAGACCAAAGAGTCCACGGTGGAAGGCGGCGGTTCCAAAGCTGTCCACTTTCTCTTTCCAACAGGGCTCCGGTGGGTAGTCAGCGGCCCTTAGGTTCGCTGAAGTGGTTGGGGTGTCGACGGTACCACTAGTACTAGTGGTGGGGAAGGCAGCAGCAGCGTCGCTGGTGGAAGCCGTCCTATCCAAGCTATCAGCTGTGTCCCAGATCCACGGTGAACATGCCCCTGTATAATATACATTCGAGTGATAATAGGGAGTTCGGCTGAAGTGTGACAAATCCGAAGCACCCTTTGTGCTCTCGGCAGCGCTGACGGCCAGTTCGAGAGCCCACTCAAATGATGAGCCTCGCTCTTGATCGGTATCGACCTCCTTGCCGAGCTTTCGAAGGATGTCAGCCAGAATGACATCGACGAGATTATTGGAGTGAATAAACTGACGAGGAAAGGATGGGAAGGTTGTCAGTAGGCTGGAAGAGGTCTCTACGTAGTCCCATGTCCGTCGCCATCGGTCCTTGGACGGATTTGATGATATTGGAATCTCTGGGAAAGACAAGAGTTGCTCCAGAGTAGTCTTCGGTGGAGAAGCGCCCACCGGCCTGAGGCAGCTACAAAGAGCTCCCATCTTTGGGTGGTAGGGGAGTGACTGAAAGAGAGTTCACGAAAGTTCTTGCTTGTTCGAGCTGACGAGGCATCATCCAGGACGGCGACGTTGATACCACGTTGTCAAGGAACTGAACGTGGGAATCAATCCAGCACACGAGACTCGATACCGTTTTGATCCGAGAGTCCCTCAAAGAAACTAGGTCGAATCAGCTCCTGCATGGATTCATACTATGCTCAAACGTCCGCACTGCAGCGCTTCACAGTGTACACAATATGCATCTACAGACGTCATTCGGACTGAACGCATTTGTATGTACTCTATTTTTTAGATTTTCTGGTTTATCTGGGTTTTTTTGGTGTTTTTCTGTTTCATATTTGATCGTTCCTACCGCCTCGAGGATACCTCTATTGATCCAGTCGGAAGGCACTGTAAGTCGTCTGAGCTGCTCGGCTGTGTGGCAAAAGTAGATCGTTGGGATTCATGAGAGACATTGCCAAAAGAAGGGCGAACATCGATTTGCAGGATGGGTGATCTTCTTGCCGGCCATGTCTCATTCTTGCGCCGATTCTGAGTCTCTGATCGACTGCGTAGAAGACGAGAGAGTCTTTTAGAGTAGACAAGACACCGATACGACACTTATTGAGCCTCATATAACACCAGACCTCTCGATCAGCTTGATACTCTGTGGTGATGGATCGAACCTACCCTTCCCATGGCTCGAGTCATACTATCCCGTATATACTGGTCCTCCCGCCTCTGCGCTTCCTCATCAACTTCGAACTGCACTTTCCCAGTAGGCCCCAGGGTCAATAGACCTCTTTCGAATGCCTGCTCGATGGCGTCGAACACCCGACTGGGTATCTGTTTGGGCGTCTCGAATTCCAAGATAGCGTAAGCGAGACCTTCATCTCTTGGAAGATCCGTGAAGTAAAGTCCAGAAGTGGAATCGAGCTTGATAGGAGCCTCGGGGACTGGAGGAAGCTCATCATCTTCCATGACCCCGGTAGGGGTCATCCCCCACTGAGGAGCGTGGCCAGAAGGAATAGTGGTTTGTTCAAGGAGCATATTGATTATACCGATGTAGTTTATCCCAACAAATTGTCGGACGCGATAGTGTGCGTAAGATTGTATCGGCCGTTTGAGTCTGTGTTTATTTAATTCCTCTCTTAACTTTCGCATGATCTTTTCCACCACAGCCCCTTCTTTATAATTTCGGTCAATTCTGCGAGTGTATTCAATCAATCCAGGATCGAGAGCAGCGTTTACGAGGTCGCAGGACTCCCCTGATAGGTGAGGGAAGGCTTTGGTATTCTGGGTGAGGCTCTGAGAGAGAATTAAGTCGACGAGGGGGGGATAATCGTCAGCACCTCCAGCAATGGGCAGTGCAGGGTCTGCAAAGGAAATGAGCTCTTCCAGAGTTGGTCCAATCCGGGTCGAGGGGTTGGGCGGTTTGCTAGGAAGCCTATCGTGTCGAAACAGCCGGGCGACAGCTTCCCTTTGAGCGTTGGAAGGGGTCGGGGTGAACGCGTAGATGGTTGGTGGACGGAGGGGTGAGGTTGGAGGTGAGTCTGGGGGTGAAGGCTGAGGTGGTGCTGGGGGTGGTGGTGGGGTAAACAGCTTTCCCAAACGTTTCATGGTCTCCGATACATAGGGCTTGGGCATATTGAGTGAGATTTTGAGTTGTTGTTCGGGTGGACAGAGACGGGGCGAGGGTAGACTGTGAAGATTGAAGAGAATTGCCAAGAGGACAGTGTATAAAACCTATGGTGTTCAGGCTCATGTCTGCCTGTCTGCCTTCTGAGAAGCAAGACAAACAAAATGACGCACGACTATGCAACCCCCAATCCCGACCTCCAACCACGTCGGAAGTGATCGAAAGGGCCTGGAGAAAATTCCATCTTTGGGGAATACGAACGTCGTGGAGGTAGACGGCGGGTCGGGAAGGCTCGTACAGCTGTAGATGCTCTCTGTCTGAATGAGAATATAGATAGTAGTATTGAGGTAGACCTATCGTACAGGTGATCAATTAGGTCACTGGACTATGGAAAACGACGGCACATAAAGTGCAAGGTGTGCAGGATCACAGGAAGCACGCGAAGCTTCAGACCTCAGGCGACCCATTGTACCCGCATTGATCCGCTGCTTGATGGTAGAGATGCTTGACGAGAGGAGTCGTTATATTCTTGTGGCCGTATACATCAGATTGGGGTTAGGGTTAGCTTGGCGATGGAGAAGCTGATATACCTTTGCTAGGTCAAGTCATAGAACGGTCATGTGACGGGCACGTGGCTTATCTAGCATCCAAGTGCAACGCTACGAGTACTAGCTTAGAATCTAAAGATCCGAAAGGTCCAATGTGACCACCGTGGCAAGCGATAGCTGTACCGGACAGGTTTCTTAGCCAGTATATCACTTAATGTAGGGAACTAGGTAACACAATAGCCAGATATCTTGACAATCCGCTCCTTTTCTCCATGCCACCGATCCTGTCCCTTCACACATTTCAACTGGGCTTCCTACAGGTCAGGACAGAAGGCCATTATTTCTGCCGATGTTGCCTGATGGGATCATGTAATGACTAGCCTTCATGAGAGTGAGGGTTCTGCTACTGGAGGCTATCTTCTTTCACTCCGGTTCGTAACTCCCGTAACCAAGGGGGTCGAAAGCCGGTAAGTTGAAGCTGTTCCCATGAGTCGTCACCAGCCTCTAGATCGAAAGAAAAGACTCACTGTCGCGGCTCCTTTCCTCTCACGTATCCAAGTGGAAACACCGCTTTCAACATTCCCCCTTTGTCATCGATTTCCGAGTTCTCCACAGATGGAGGAAGAGGCGGAAAAGAGGAAAAGTAGTCGTAGTCGGAAAGGAGTTTTTTAATGGTGGTCTCTTCTCGTCTCTTGTATTTGGTCCAGAGATCTTCAGAGATGGAAGAACGGAGGATAGCTCTATCAAAATCGATTAGTCTGATGGCCGAACCAGCTGGATCCCCCATTCGACGACGCCAATGTCGTATTTGAACGTCGCCGTGAAGGATTCCGTTTCGGTGTAGGCGAGCATAAAGCTCGAGGATCTCGGACCTAGTCGTTAGTGGTTAATTGACCCTGACCGAATATTGCCCGGCAGATATATGCGTAGCGGAGACAGTCACACGTAAGGGAAGAAACGTCATTGTCGACCATTAATGGAAATGCGACAGGTGAACAAGGGTGAGAATGGTGGAGTAGCGCTCACCTGTCCACTTCGTGCACCTTATGTGTGTTGAATTGAATACCATCCTGGTAGACCTCATCCAATCGCTCCCCTGCATCTTCCATGACCATCACCCAGACTTCCCTTCCTCGCTGGATACCTCCCCACAACCCGATAATCTGAGGAATAACTGGAGGGTGTATTTTAGACAATCGAGAAAGGGTCTCGTATTCATTACGTATATGTTCACGGGCTCCAGCTCGTGAAAGTTCGGCACGAGACGTTGGATCGCTTGTGTCGGAAGGTATGAGAACCTCCGGGAAGCAAGAGATGGTGAGAACTTTGCCAATGAGAGGAAAGGGAGATTGGGGCAGGTTCAGATGACTGGGGACCAGGATTCGAAACACGTCCCATAATGCGCCGTTGGACATTACTTCACCCAATATCAAAGCTTGGGGACGAAAGATGTGTTCGGCCAAGTTTCGCTCCATCCTCGTATCGCCTTTCTTCGGGTCGCTACCTTTGACGCCTGATCGTGGGAATGAGTGGTCCATCTCGATGAGTTCAGGGAGGCCGTTCCCTTCGAGACAATGGATGTCGATGGGTCCATGAAGAAGATCGGGCCATTTACGAATTTTGATGAGTGAATGAGAGACATCACCTTGCTTGATACGCTGGAAGGTGTATTCTACGGAAAGGATCAGATGTAGGGACGGGGGGCCAATCTAGTCCATCAACACCTCTACTTCACACCGTGTTCACTTGCAACAGGAGCATTTACCTCGTCGAGAGTTGCTTTGTCTCTTAAGCGAGTACCTTCATTTCTCGCTTCTACTCCAAAATGCTTCAACCCGGCTGATGGTGTTGTGTAGCTAAACGAGAGGTCGAATTCCGGATCTTCCCTGCCTTCATATGTAGCATATGGTCCATTCCACCAACGTCGTTCTTGGTCCTGTTTGCCTTGACGAGAGACGTTGCAAGTCCGACAAGTCCATAGGCCGGTAGAAGCTGTTTGTGTTTCGTGGCCTTGAGGCTTCGAGATGTACTCACCGGGAAGACGCAGAGTTTCATCATCGGTCACTGTGATGGCGAGGGCTAGAGCGAACAAGGATCGACATGGGTATTCTGATGTCCCCTCACCGCGGCGCAGGACGTCGCTCACCTCCACACGACCGTCGTTGATATATAGGACGATTGTGTTCTGATGCGTAGTGAAGACGCAGAGCCGAACCTGATGGTGTAGCATCTGTGACCAGCACTGGCCATAAGCTAAGTGGGATTCCCCAGTTGTACCGTCACCTGATGACGAGGGCAATGAAGATCAGATGAGTGAATGACTCACATGGGTAAGCAACCGTTGGATCCCGTCCACCATGTCCAGACCCAGCCGGTCCCGATGTTCCTGATCGGTAACATGCGCTCGACCATCGTCGTCTATCACCACCGTATCTTTACGGACTGCGCCGGTGACTGCTGAGAGAAGAGCGATAGGCGAGTAGAAATCCGGACCGTATTCCCACAAGGCAAGTGGAATGTCTTGCGGACTGGGAGGTATACGAGCATACAACACGCTACGGTCAAATGTCGCGTCACCAAAGTAGTCCCTTTCTCGTTGCCAGGTACGGTCGACTTTGACCTTTTCTTGCCCTTTGCCAAGGTTGGTCATCAATCCTAACATCATGTCTGCTTTTCGAAGGTATATGCTCTGATGATACGTGGGAATGTGACGCTCACGACGATCATACATGTATTGCCTTTTGTAGTCAGCACCACTAACCGCGAGGCTGAAGATGTTGGTGAAATCCTCAAATCTCTTCCGGCGCGAATCGATGTGAGAGCTCCATTTCTGCAAATTCGCTGCCAAGATGACGTCCACAAATTGGTTGGAGAGTGTGAATTGACGAGGGAAGCATGAGTAAGTCTGCAGCAGACTGCCAGAGGTCTCCACATAGTCCCATATTCGTTCGTATATGTCGTTGGGAGAAGTCGGAAATTCTATCTCGGGGAAAGATAGAACCTGTTCGTAAGTCTTTGGAGAGGGAGGGAATGGGGAGCACAGGCGGTTTAGGCAGCTGATAAACTGTCCCATATTCCGTTGGTTGATGAAGGATGATAGGACGAGCAGCGTGATCGTGAATTCCTGCCCTCACATCTGGTGCCATGTGCCATGAAGATAACACGAGGCCGAAAGGATTACACGACGATTCCAGTCCGCGAGTATCCGAGGCAATAGTGTGAACGGTCCTTCTGTATCCTACAGTACAGGACAGTTCAATGTACAGCCTGCAGCGTTGAAAGTCTCCCCTTATGGGAAAAGGTAGACACAAACATGCATAGGATCACAAGACATGGAGAATTCAAATGTTCTCGTCACATACACTACCACTGATGGTACTGACTCAACAGTACAGTACAGTTTTTCTCCCTCGTCCCTTCAAACGTGCTGCACTGTCAAGCGACTGCACAATATCCATCCCTTCCTGAGTTTCTCCGTACATATCTCCTACTCCATATACACCGCCGCATCTATCACCCTCATCTGCCCTTCGGTCCACCCAGCCGCCACTCTGGAGCGAATGAAGGCGGGATCGGACAATACCAACTCGGAAGGTTTCATGACCGAAACCGAGAGGAGAAGAGCCAGCAACGACTTACAGCAGTCGAGCTGTTGTCTATCGCTTTCACCGCGTCGCAAGCGGACTGCGATGCGAAGCTTCTCGTTGTCGGCGTAGAACACTAGAGTGTCTTCGTGAGTCGAGAGGACACATAAGCGACACCTATTTGCCCTCAAGTGGGTCCACACCTCTTAGTCAGCCACAAAGTATTACTGCGAGTATATGTCACTCACCCGATTGAGAACCAGTGCCATATTCTTCATGATATATGGGTCTCGCGAGGATTTGAACTTCTTATCATTAAACTCGACTGTCCCAGTCTCCCCTGTCCACACCGCCTCCTTCGCAAACACCTCCTCGATAGCATCGAACACGCGAGTTGGTATCTGTATGCACGTTTGGATGTCGAATATAGCAAATGCCCATCTTCTTCTTCTTTCTACCTCACGATAATACAATCCGACAGTCGATTTAAGCACAGTCTGTGGGTCTTCCTGCTTCAATGATCCAGAACCGGTAGCGTTGCGCACAAACGGCTTGGAGGAACCAAGGACAGTCTTCTGCGGCACATCCTTTATGGTGACACTTTCCGTATTGACCCAATATGGCTGACGACGTCCAGCACCATTTGGGGCTTCCTCCAAGACTTTGGAGAGGAAGGGAAAGTATGTCTCTGAATAGAACTCTTGAAGATCGAAACCCTGGAACAAGAGGCGTCCCGGCTTGGCAGGGGGTTTGCGTAATTCGTTCATTCGATCCTGCAGTGCTTTCGTCGCGTTCTCGCTAGTATCGACTTCGAGAGCCCATTGATGTAGTGCGGGCTCCAATACTTGGGTAAGAAGGGAGCAAGGGTTCCCGGAGTGTGTGGGGAAGTGGGGAATCTGAGTGGAGAAACTCTTAGAGATGGCAGCGCTGACCGGGGGAGGAAAATCGTCGGGTGTATGGGCGGCATACAATAGGTGGTCTTTGAACGAGGTGATACATTTGAGGGCGTTTGATGTGGGTTCAACGCTATCAGGTTCTATGGGGGGATGTTTGGAGGATGATCCAGGGAGCAACGAGCGACCGAATTTCTTGGCTTTTGCTGCGAAGGCCATCGTCACGGTAACGATCGAATAATGACTATTCGATAGGATGACGGAGCAGTTGGCAAGTGAAGTGATATCAAAGATTGTATAGATGTAGAATCAGCTATACGATTGAAGCCGCATGTCTGTCTGTTAGTCTTCTCAAAATCAAGTCAAAATAGATCACACACAAGTATGCAATCCCAATATCAACCTTCAGCCATGCCGGGTAGAGCTCCACCGCGGAAAGAGGTTCACAATTCCACCTTCGTCGAGCGTTCCACGCGAATATACACCGTCTTGAGCAACATTTGCTATGGTCTGGACTGTTTCGGACCGTTTGTTCGAGAAGACTTGAGGTGTGTCCGACCCTTTTCCTCCAGCCAAAGACCGCCATCAGGCGTACGTTGGCACCGGCAACCTGCCGGGGGTAGGGAAACAGTCGAGGTTCTCAGGTATTTTTGAGGCCCGTCATGAGGATACTGGCTGTCAGCGACGGGTCTCTTGACATGCAGAGTGGAACATCATACGTTGATTGTCATGATTGCCTGAGTAAATGAGTCGGTAAGAATCATGATGACCACGAAAGTGGTTGCTTTTGATGGTATCCTAGTTCACCCTTTTCCTGCTTTGATCCAAATTTGGTGCATTCCGTGCGTCGGGTTGCTGCTTCCGTCGGATCCGAAACTTGGACATTCCTGACGTGTATTTTCATGCCCCCATCACAAGAGATCATTGCTTGGCTCTTGTCTCCTCGATCCTCAGACGCATCATCGACGACTTTGCATACATCGGTGGCCTACAGAGCAAGATACGGTACTTGGAAACAGACAGTGGGTCGGTCACGAGCAGGGAAAGCTCTTGTTGAAGGAACAAAATGAGTCGAAGCGCTGTGCGGTTCCGGTGAGTCTGCCTTTCGTGCTCGTAAATTTTATCGAATTATAATCATCTCGGTGAGACTTCGTCGGTGAAGCTGATATCGTCAGATGGCAATCTCAACCTAATCAAATTCATGAACTTCTCAAGCTCGTCGACTCGAATCCCTTATATCGCCAAACACTGTTTCCAGGCGATGCGCTGGCAGTAACCGACAGTCGCTATCGCACAACTCGCGACATTGCTATCGAATTTTTCAAAGATAACCTCTGGATCAGAGACGCTGAGAGGAGAGGTATTGTGATTAGAAGGGATGGGAAATGGGAAGCTACAGCTCTCTGGCACGCCAAAGTCACCAACCCGGTATCAACTCTGGTAAATGAGTGAGTGGCTTTCGTCGACCTGGGTGCCACTACAGGGAGACGCCTCGAGTGTGGCCGGGGTGATTGCCAATGTCACACTGGCTCTCTGATGGAAAGATTTACGGCTGATACACAGTCTCAAGTCTAAGTGGGAGAAGAAGGAGTATCAGAAGAAATACAATATCGACCGCAAGTGGAAGAGCTGGACGGATATTACCGACGAAAAGCTCCGGAGTGAGTCCACCGCACATTTACTGGTGATCTTATCTGACGACCAGAGAAGCTACAGAAAGAGTTCCCTTATTACTTCCTCTTGAGGCGTCTTTGTCGACCAGGCAACAGCAATCTTATCTTACCCCCCAACCCTTCACCTCTCCCTCCACAATCGAGACGAAAGCGGAGACGGACACGATCGGAATCTGCCCGTAAATCCTCTTCAGAGTCTGGCAGCGACAGCGACCAAGATCTTTCCTCCCGAGCTTCCTCGCCTCCTCCACCCATATCGACCACCTCAAGGGCGTCTTCCTCGGCTATCAGACATAGGCCGGTCAAACGACAAAGTTCTAGCCCTGAGGTGCAGGTCCAGCGACATCGTAGATCAAGAGTTGCCCTTCCCACTCCTGCCGACTCCTCAAGCGAACACGAATCAGACTTCTCTCCAGTGGAAATACCCACACCTGCGTTGCGTCGTCCTTCTGGTGTCACTCGGCCAACAGTCAGCGCTGCTGAATCGTCGACTTCGCTGAGAGGCAATGGTCAATTACGGAAGTCTGCAAGACCTAGTTGGGCGACAGCCCAATCTTCTGATTCTATCTCCGACTCTGACAGCGTGATGTCAGTCGATGTCAAACCAAACACCATACCAGACACACATAAGGTGGATCCACCCCCTAACAAAGCGTGTGCCACCATCGATTCGAAGCCGGACACCTCATCTCTAGAGTTCCAACTCTCTCCATCCCGACCACAAGCTTATCCACTCGAAGACCGCAAGCCTGTCATGCTTAGCGTACCTGGAAGTCTCGCGGTAGCTGGTTCTCAGCCGACCAAGAAACGCAGACTTTCTGCGACTTCCCAGCCTAAAGTGAAGGTCGAGCCCCCAGCATCAGTAGCGAGGGCATCTCGTGTGAATCGAGGAGGTCGAATTAGTGATCCCATCGAAGTCGACTCCTCGTCTATCCATGTCAGTGATAGCGAATACCCGAGCCACACCGAGGAGGAGAGTGAACCGGAGAGTATGACGGATCAAACAGACGCAGGGTCCAGCGACAACTCTGAAGGATATATATCCCCAGACATTGAGATGGAGATACCTTCGAGCTCTAGAACTCGCGGTCCCATCTCCTCGCCTTTGCCACGGAGCAAAACTCCTGAACAACTCGAAAATTGGAATCACCTTCTCTGCAAGCTGGATGTGGCTCGTGACCGCTGCCTTACGCAGGAGGACCTTGACGCTGAGGAGACTGGGCGCTTCAGGGAGATCGAGCAATCTTGGGAAAGGGAGAGATTCATTCGGAGCGCGCAGGTCCGTCGTTTTAGATTTACTTTTCAAAGAATCAGAGACTACGTGTAAGTTTCCTGAGGGCACTGGTGTCTTTGACGAGTTGATGGACAGAGATTGCTTCTCGGTCCCTACAAACGTATGTGTATGCCCGCTGAATCACGTCGTAGAGGATGACATCGTAATCTTAAGAAGGCTTGGCGTGTGAGTTGCAAACGAACTGCTAGGTAGTGAGGAGTAGCTGATGGTTTACCAGCCTGACATACAAAAATCCCCAAGAATTCCCTTTCTCTTCCCCAGGGGATGAGACGTATATCCGATTGCATCCGACCTACAGCGCAGGCCATCCTCGAGGTGTAGCCCCACTTGCTGACGGAAGAGTCGGCGATCACACGTATCGTAATATGCGTATTCTAGACTTCTACATCCTCCTTGACGATGCCTTCCGTAAGATCAACGGCAGAGCAGGTCAAAATGACGGGATTGAGAGTAATCAGCGCACGTTTCAAAAGATCCGGAGCCTTTTGAGTGAAGCTCGGTCTCGGAACGATGCAATCCATAAGAAAGGCAGAAAAGGCCTAGCTACCAAGCAGAACGCGGCTTTCCTCGCAGCGTACCAATTGATTTTTTCCGTTTTGTGGGGTTCAGCTCACTACAAGGAGGAGAACTTCGGCTGACCATGCAGACCGCAAAAGCTAAATGAAATCGATCACATTCACTTGCGCCGTAAACAGACCACTCCGAACAACTATGCCACCGCGCTTTTGAGGGTCTTTCGACGAGCGGGTATGTAAGTACGTGATCTCCTACCATGTGAAGACACTGACGAGCATAGGGATGTCGGGTTCGGCTTCACTTTTCCGGTGCCCTCCCGAAGGAGACATATGAACATCTTACTTGCCAGCTCGTCGGCCGAACGATCCGAGACCTTGCAAAAACAAGAATACATCTGTAAAGAAACAGGGGCGACTTATCGGAGTCTTCATCAGATAGAAGTCTGGAGAATCTTTGACGAAGAATTTTGTAAAGCAAACAAAGAAGCGATGAAAGCTATCTTTGGTGAGGTTTTGTAGCATATGCATACGACATTTACCAGTTTCCCGATCAGATCTTATCTAGAGGTATCCCATCCAGCTCGTCGTATCCCAATGCCAAATTCAGATTCTATTCATCAGCTATTCTCAACCAGAATCATTCGACACTCACTTGCATACACTGTGTCGCGGCACCTTTCAGTAAGTTATCCAATGCTCCCTGTATGTCAGCTCTGTCCCGACCGAGTTTTAATCCCCTCTTCGCCCGTCCCATTGTCTGCATCCTCCTGCAGGACCATCTCCACTTGACTTCACTTCATCTTTTCCGACGCAATCCCTTTCCCAGAATTTCTGAGATTTTGTGCATTCAGACGGACGGTACGAGAAGACTGGTGATTCCGTCACACATTATCCTACCACAAAACGATTCTCGGATCTCCGGACTCTCACGTCACCTCGCAAGTTCATGAGGAATATGAGTGAGAGGAGGAGATCAGAAATCGGACAAGTTCAGAAATAAAGAAAGGTTTGTAACAAGGGGAAATGAGGGACATAAGGAGATGAAAAATAGAGGCTGATGAGACAGCGTCTAGAGAAGAAAGAAAGAGTGACGAGAGACAAAGGCTTAAGATGAAATGTGAAAGTTGAAATACGAGGAGACACGCACAACAACAACAACCCTTTTACCACTACTATGAACCTGTATTCCACCCATTCTCCAACCATGTTTACCCTCCACATTCCTAATGACATCCGGCACGTTTTTCCCAACTCTCAACAAACCTTCTTTTTCATATTTCTCAAAATATAAATCTTGTATTTCAGATGCTCTCATTGATTTCTCAAGTGGAGCATTGAGGATTGATATTATACCGGAGAACCAAGGTCCTACTGTCGGTATGAAATTTAATGAGAATCCTTCTTTAGGTTGTATTTCTTGAGATGATTTTGATGAGAATGAAGATGAAGAAGATTTCAAGTTTGATAAGATTGTCGAGGGAGAAGAAGATGTCAAGTTTGTTAAGGTGGACGAAAGAGAAGAGGGAGAGGGAGAGGAAGAGGAAGAGGAAGAAGGGAAAAGAAGAGTTGATAAATGTGTAGAAGCTTCTCTTTCGTGTATATGATCAGTAAGGGAATAAGGTTTGACTCCTCCTGCTAGATCTTCTGGACTCTGATCATTAGCTTTCAGCTATATGAACGATGGATTATGACCCTTGAGAATGACCGTGGGTCAAGATGGCGTTCCATCAACGTCGCCTGATGACTCATCCCACTTTCAGTGGTGTGAGATACTCATATATAGTGATGATCCATGACACAGTGACACTAACGATGATCTTTTTCAGCTGGGACTTTATGCGCGCGAGGGAAATTAGCAAGTGAAGACTAGGAAGGGAAGGAGGGAATCGACAGGTGATAGACATGGAGTCTCAGATTGGTAAAGGATGATGAGAACATCACATACGATCTTCGGAACTGTCCTTGGTCTCCCTTCCTCATCCTTCTCCCCACTCCTAGTCCCAGCTCCAGAATACCCACTGATCCCAAATACAGTAGGAGCTTGGTCCTTATCTAAAACCGATAACAATGGAGCCACCAACAATTGAGTATTGGTCGCATAACAACCGGGATTAGAAACTCTTTTTGAATTTCTTACTTTCTCACGACCGTATAATTCTGCAGAAGAATTCATCAACATTACATCTCATATCGTAAAAACTACGAAACTATCTCACCAGGCAATCCATAAGTCCAATCTTTCTCAAATCGATAATCCGCACTCAGATCCACTATGACACCTTTACCTCCTTTTCCAACTGCCGAGTCTATCGCATCGACGAATGGTTTACATATCCCATTTGGGAGAGCCATTACCCAAGCGTCTACTTCGTTGTTTTCAGCCATCTTCCCCACAGTCTCAGGGGAGAGATTGGAATAGGTTACGGGGGATTTTGTATATTCTTTCAAAGGAAGTCCGGCGAGTTCTCGAGAAGATACGTGTGAGAGATCTAAATGAGGATGGGAGTTGATTAAAGAAATAAGGTTTTGACCTGTATAACCCCGAGCACCTATAAGAGCTACTTTCTTCCGAGGAAGGGCAGTGGCGTACCCACGTCGAGAGGTTATGTCGGTAGATGGAGCTTCAAATTGAGTAGAGAGGGAAGGGCGAAAGGTAGAGAACAATCTAGCAGAAGTGGAATAAGGTCGGGTACCAGATGCCGGAGTAGACAATCGATGAGGTGGTACGGATGGACCGACAGGAAGGAAGACTCTCTCTATACGTCCGTTCTGTTCAAATCCCTCGATTATATGTTCCACATCTTTCACGTTCGGAACGCCGTACCAGAACAAACTCCTACCAGCTCTTGTGAAACACCCATCCGCTCGTTCAAAATGCCATGCTCGGTTCTCGTCGTCGGCCCGTGCAGTCCAGAACAATCTCTTGTGATCTTTTCGGATAGCTTCGAAGACATTATCAACAATCTTGTTGAGGATCCCGTTGCGGGAAGGGAGGAATTTCGTCATGACAGGGGTTTCACCTTCGGGATGACTGACAACAGCGACTACGTCGAAGGGTTCGTCCCCGTAGATTGTATGCTGACCATCTTTTAATTCGGAAAAGATTTCCGCAACAGACTTTCGACCTGCCAAAACGTCCGGATCGCGTTCACTGAACACCTGACGGAGTTGTGTCGACCCTACAGCTTCGACCGAAGGCAGTTTGTAAAGCTTATAACCACGTCGGATAAGCGTGCCAGCACCTTCGTCCGTGAACAACTCCTTCTGCAACATGTCTGTGGAAATGATGGCGACGGAGGAAGTACGAGGAAGAGTATCGAGGAGCTCTTTTATCTCGCGCAATTTGAGCTTGGTACCGAATTTGACCCATGATTCTTTCATGAGACTGTCGTATTCTTCGTCCAGGTTGATGAGTGAGATCTTCTTGCCGGTGACACCGTGGAAGAGACCGCCTTTTTCATTGAGGTAGACGATCTTCATGGGCTGCAAGTTAGCTATGTCTGGTGGTGTATGTCTGAAATGCCCACTCACCTCCAGCACCTTGGCCAGCTCGCCAGCTGCCACATCCGCGTTGACATTGAGTATCTGACCCTCTGCGTTCTCCGCCAAGGATGTCAGGATTGGCAGACAACCCGCTTTGATAGCAGCTTCAATGGGAGCCTTGTCGACACGGGTGATTTTCCCCACTAGACCATATTTCGCCTTGTCTAAGTAGTCGGCAGTGAAGACACCCGTGGGGATGGGACGTGCACGGGTACCCAGACGTTCCAGGGCGGTTGTGAGCTTTAGGTTTTCTTGCAAAAATACGCGCTGATCAGGTCAACTTGAGCCATCGACTACTGACAGAGATACTCACTCGGGCAACCTGAAGGGTTCTGGCATCTGATGATCAGCTATTGATGTACAGCGAACAGAAGACTAACCTGTGATTCGTATACCGTCTTCATAATCTGGGATGACCCCTTCTGATTCCAATATGTCGTTCCTGCTGGTCAGAGCTGTGACTCCTAAGAATCTGATGAAATCTCACAGCTGCGGACCAGCACCGTGGAGCACCACAGGATACAACCCAAGTCTGTTCAAGAAGGACAAAGACAAGGCCAGGTCGTCAAGCTCGTTGCTAAGGATAGCTCCTCCGATTCTGATGATGAGCTCGGCACACGACGCCCAGGGCTGAACTGAAACTGACTTGAGAACGGCAAACTTTGCTTCTGGGAGTACACCGCCTGTGGAGACTTTTGAGGAGGATGTGAAGATTCGTAGATAACGCTCGACTTCGTGTCGTGATCCAAGCGAGTAGAGCAGACGGATGATGGTGTCCTACAAATATAAGCTGAATACCTTTCTTCTCCAGATGTAGCAGGAGATGATGTCTGTGTACTCACTCTGTCCATTCCTCCATCTCTCTGTGCACTGGAGAGCATATTGACCAAACCCCTCTTTCGAATTTCGTTTCCAACCTTGCGGGCGTCGAGCTCAAGGATGACATTCCGACTGGAGGACGCTGTAGAGATGGGAAGAGGAACTGTGGAGAGAAACCTAGGGCCAGATGGACGTGTCAAGGATATCGCCCGCCGAGGTAGGACAGGCACTCTGCGTAACATTATGAGTGGGTAGGGGGAAGGAGTCAAGCGAGTAAGGTAAAGTAAAGTAAAAGTAGGTGATGACGGAGAGTTGGTTGCAGCAACAAGGAAGGAATTGACTCACTCGGAATTCCTTATCAAAATTGGGGGGGGGGGAATGAAATTTGCAGCTTGATATTGCCACGTCATTCACTTTCTAGACGCGGCTGCCTTTGACTTTTCCGCAACAAACAACCTTCTCGGCTCTACTTTTCACTACTTTTCACCATTCTCATCATGTCACAGGAGCAGCATACTACTGTCAGTACATCTAGACCGACTACGCACCCCATACAAGCTGACATACATCAGGCCCCCGCCACATCTCGACTTCCTCGACTCCAATCTCCTTCCTCCAAACGATCCATCCCAACCCTGTCTTCCACCATGTCAACCCTACCCTTGCTCACAGCCAACAACGCCAACAAAAGAAAAACTCCATCTTCTCCAGCTGGTCCGGCCGCAAAGCGTCAAGCATCTGCATCATCACTAGGCAAGTCGACATCTGGACCCAAGAAGCCTCCAGGGTTCATACCTACTACCACTCGTAAACCCTCAGGCACGTTGAGCCGTCCGACTTCTTCCCTGTCCACCTCTACCAGACGGGCTGGCAGTGCTTCCAGTAATTCTGGTGTGGCAACCTTGACAGGACCCACGACGAGATCAAAACCTACCACCACCACTGCCCGACAATCCCGACCACCAGTGGCCGGACCAAGTACCAGAAGTACCCTCGGTCGAAGTGTGGGACCTACAAGAGGGATCAGTCCTGGACTCGGAGCAGCAGCATTGGGTGGTATTGGATCAGGAGTGGCAAGCGTGGAGCAATTCAAAAGTCATGATGGTCGATTGCACAATGTTGAGAAGATGGTTGGTGGCTTCAAAGACTTGCTTGACAGAGAGTATGTCCAATTTGTGATATCGTTGAATCAGAGCTTGAGCTGACAATCATAGGGGCCAAAAGAGTGCGTCAAACATTTGAACACGTTGTAGTGCTAATTCGTAGTCAACTCTCTTCAAACCCAACATGCAGATCTGCAAGCATTGTTGTTCTCGACTCAGAATACAGAAAGAGAAGCCAGAAGAGATTTGTCCACGGCATCAGAAGAGATCGCCGCGTTGCGGTCGGCACATGCTAGGGAGGTGGACGACCTTGAGAGAGCGATAGCGAGAAAGGACAGAGAGAAACGGGGTATTGAAGAGGAGCTGAGAGATAGTAGAGATGAACTGGGGAGAGAGAGGGAGATGGTTAGAGAGTTGAAAGTAAGTTGGTCTCGTAACTTTGCCCTTTCCCGTCACCCTAACTTGGCCGCCCAAATCTCATCATGTCGTCCATCCTGGACGTAAGATGTCTTCTCACGTTGAGCGAAGCAGTACCCGTTACTAATGTCAGCTACAAGTCGCCCAACAGTCCACGCAACATCTCACCCTCACTGCTCAACTCACTGCAGCCCAGTCTCAACTCACTCTTCTCCAATCCGAAGTTGAACGCGCTACGTTGTCAGTGTCAGGAATGAAAGCCGAGGTTGAAATCGGTCGACAAGAAGCGAAGAAAGCGGAGGAGCGAGCTGAACAAAAAGTCAGAGAAGCAGAGGATGAGCGTGATAGACGTATCGCCGAGATTGAACTGGAGTTGAGGGAGGCAGAGACGATCCGGAGGAAGTTACATAATCAAGTACAAGAGCTCAAGGGAAATATCAGAGTATTTGCAAGAGTTCGACCTGCTCTAGGTGAGTCTCCGGCTCTAATCCTGATACTTCAACCCAGCAACGTTGATGATCCGTTACTGTACATTATGCGAAACACCACTACCCAAGCTCTTCCCACTGATGATCATTGCACTACTGACCTGCAGCACACGAAGTAGACGCTCCGGATGGACTTGCCGATATCGCATACGGTGACGAACGTACAGCTCAGGAAACGGGACAAGGACAAATCATCGTCAGTAACAAGAGTGAATCTGCCATGGGTGGTGTGAGAGAACAGGTGAACTCGTTTGCATTTGACAAGGTGAGCTCCTCTCGTTCCACCGGAGGAAGCTGACAAGTGAGATCTTCTCGCCCAAAGCTGGACAGAAAGAGGTGTTTGAAGAGATTTCCATGTTGACGCAAAGTGTGTTAGATGGGTACAATGTAAGTGGGACTAAACTTTCATCTCTCAAAGCTCTCTCTACATTCCATTTGGTCTCGAATTGCCGAGAACCGTTACCTGTTGCCATAACTGACCGGCGTACAACCTTCCGCGCCGAAGCCTGACATCTTATGGCGGCGCTCCGAACGTAAAACGACCCTTCAGAAGCATGCGGGTTTGGTTCTGACCAACAGGTATGTATCTTCGCCTATGGTCAAACGGGCTCTGGGAAGTCGTGGACAATGGAAGGTGGTCAGGTAAGCTACAATGGGCACATATTTCTGACACAGCTGATGGGGAAGAATGAAGAAGATGCAGGGATGATACCCCGTGCGATCGATATGATCTTCGCCGCTAGTAAAGGTCTGAAGGATAGGGGGTGGAAGTATCAGATGGAGGGGCAGTTCTTGGAGGTGTATAATGAGGTTGTGGGTTTTGCTCTGTCTTTTCACAAGGCGTCAAGACACTGGGATCCTACACTCCCTTTGCATTTCTCCTAAATCGACACAAGCCTGTCGGTCTGACACTTCGAGGATGTTCAAAGGGCTGCCGTGGAATAGGCAAGAGCTAAATTTCTAGATCAACGATCTTCTCGGAAGTGGACAGTTTGACACTAAAAAGCACGAAATCAAACATGATAAAGATGGTAAGATGACAGTGACCGAGGTGGTCAGCGGTAAGTTTTACTTCTATTCCTACTCACATACCCTGTTCAACTACCTCGTTGCCATACCCTCTCTCCTAGATCTACCCTCTGAGCTCATAATGTCTGTCACTTCCTCTATAATAGAAACCGTCCTACAAGATACGGACAGGAGGAATGCACAACTCCATGATAGTGTGACGCTGACGGATAAGTCCCACTGAGTAATCCCCGTCAAGTTTCCACTCTCTTAGACCGTGCTCGATCTCGTAGAGCTGTCGCTGCGACGTTGATGAACGAACGTTCATCACGATCCCATTCGGTGTTTACACTAAAAGTGAGGGGAGTGAATCCTCTGACGGATGAAAAGTGTGAAGCTATGTTGAATCTTGGTAAGTTCGGTTTTCCTGTCTCCTCCTTCCTACGTGCTACTCTTTTTCGATCTCACTTTTCTCCAGATTGTTCCTCTCACTCACAAAACCCTCGAATTCCAGTCGAACGCCAACGGCTATCTCTTATTTGCCCTTGTTCGTGCCGGAGACGAGTTACTCTTTTGCATTAATGAATGTGAAACGAGACTTCCAACATACTCGGCCTGATTACCCAGCGGAAGAAGCATTGAGGATGACAAAATGTATGATGCATTCCGCTAATTCCCAGTCGACTTGGCAGGTTCAGAACGTCTAGCCTCCTCAGGTGCCGGAGAGAACAAAGATCGATTGAAAGAAACGATCAATATCAACCGTTCTCTCTCCGCATTGGCAGATGTCATAGGTGCTTTGGGTCAAGGGACGCAAGGTGGACATGTACCTTATCGTAATTCCACTTTGACGAGGTTGCTACAGACGAGTTTGTCCGGTGAGTTCTTTAGTATTATTCGTTTCATTCCCTCTTCCTTCTCTGCGTGTTTCCAATGCTGCACTTCTCTCTCCACGCCCCCCCCCCTGGCCAATGTATGATCCCTCCGATCAGTATCGTGTGAGATGTTCTCGGAAACACTTCAAGTAATCTTTTCATACATGATCATATCCATCATCACATCTCAGTTCTTCAGTTACACGGAGAGGGAGAGAGTCGTTGTACTCTTTGTGAAGTTGATTCACCCACGTTGAAAAGGACGAACATGGCGGATAACCAAGAAAAGTCAGAGTAAAAACTAACAAATCAGGATCTAGCAAAACACTCATGTTATGTAACCTCTCACCACTCGCTGCTCATTTAAGTGAAACTTTATGTAGTTTACGATTCGCTACAAAGGTCAATAGTACATGTGTAGGTTCTGCCAAGAAACAAATATCCAAGTGATCTCAACTCTCGTGTGGTGGGAATGGGAGACGGCTCGGGGTGTAGGACTATACATTTTGGGTATATATGCAGGGGTGTTTTGTCATACGTTCTGTGGATTTGGTATTACCTTTCCGCTTGGAGTAAAATAAAAGGAACGTGTGGAGTGGTTGGACCTGAGACCTTAGACCTAGGACATTGGGTATTGATGATAGGTAGTTGATCAAGAATCAGGACGCTGGGACGCTGGGTGTTGATGATAGGTAGTTGAACAAGAATTAGGAGTCAATAAGATCCGCAAACGTCGAGATGATGATCAAGAGGGGTGAGAGATGAGAAATGAGAGGGGAGAGGAGAGAGGGGAAAAGGGACAGTGGAGAAGAGAGAAATGAAAATAGTGACGCGTAAGTTAAAAACATAGTCTTGGGTTTCAATTCATGTATACATCTTGATTCCTTATGGTGATGCTCGTACTGGTTGAATTCCCTTTCGTCCTCCTCCCCGTGTCCCTCCCCAATACTTTGACCTTTTTTCGCCATCATCCACCATCTCGCTTTCATATCCCTCATATCTCATCCAGCTTCCCACAGAGACGAGTGATCTGGCTACTTCATTGCTCAACTTTACGTACGTTGTTATCCCCTCAACTCGATCCCACTTCCCATACTTCGTTCCCCTCTAAATCACTCATAATCATCTTTATCAGCGTAAATGCGTAGATGTATTACCAACAATTACGTGAGATTCCTCATGATTCAGGTGAAACCCCATCCCCTAAAACGATATCACCAACCCTCAACCTTGTCCAACCTTGTTTATGTTCGATAGTTTTTTTATAACCTTTTCTTCTTTTTTTCTTTATCAACCTTTCCATTGGAGATTTAGTATGTTCTAATACTGTTACTTGACATTTAACTATCCAATCGGGTATATATTCCCATTCTTCTTCTTTCCCAACTATCAAATCCTTCCTCGAGCTTTTACTTCCGGTCGTTGGGGAAAATTGAAGAGATTTTCTTAACGTCTTTCCATCCGCAGCTGGTGATCTTATAGAATGTTCTCTAGAACCAACTTCTAATATCCTAGTGAGAGATAATTTAGTTCCTGGTTCTTGTACCGGTTTCAAAGTGGGAAGAGTTAATATATCTCTTGGATGTAAGAGATAAGTACGGGAATGAAGTCTAGCCAAGATGTATAGACCTGATTGTGGTGTTGAACTTGATTTTAAGAGGGAAAGAGCGGAGGGGGTGGTTGTTGGTAATGGGTCGATTTGAGGTGGAAGGAGAGGTGGGAGAGAGGGAATGGGTGAAAGTGAAGGTGAGGTGACGGGGTGGTTGATGGTAGTGGAAGAGAGTCTGATCTGTGGTGGGGGACGTATCGGAGGGGTGATAGTATGTAGAGATCGAGAACTGAAAGATGGAGAAGCGAGCACTACAGAGTTAATTGAGAAACTTGTTGTTGTGAGGATTGAAGCTCACATGACGGACCGACATTCCTCCCGCTCATGCTTTTCATACGGCTCATGCCTATCTCACCAATTACGCCCCGGAGCATCCTTCTTGTACCTCCCTCGGGTGTCTCTTTGATGGCTGAGTAGCTGAGATCAGTCAAGAATGAAATACTCGTTGCTTTCGAGAAAGACAGGAAGACAGTGACCACAAGTGAAATTGTCTTCCCCGCCAAGTGCCACATTCGCCCATTTTGAAAAACCCAAGGAAACGCCGGACTTTCCCGAGCTCCTCCGCTCCCCGTCAGTTGAACCCCCTTGACATTCCTCCCCCCCTCCCCCCCTCCCAAGCTCTCCTCATAACCCCTCTCTCCGTACAAAATGCACGCCATAAGGTCTCTCAGGTCCGCAGGGAGGAGTGCGGTGGTACAGAGTGTGAGTCGTTCTTTGTTCATACTCTCATATTCTACCTCTATCACGGGTCGGAATGTTTGGGCCGGGATGGAGAAAACATCTTGGGCGTATACATTGACCGTTCAATATTCCCTCAAGCTTCCTAAGACGTATTTGAATTGTAGACTGCTTGTCGTAGTGCAACAGAGTAAAGTTATATTGGAGATGGAAGAGACCACCACTGGAAAGAAGAAGAAAGAGAGAGAAGCAAATACTGATGTTTAGACCCGCGCTAGACTGGCCCCCACAGTCACTAGAACTTATGCCACCGCCAAACCTGGTACGTTTCCACTAAAGTGAATGTATGATAGAGCTCACCATTAGCCGCCTCGGAAGTCTCGTCCATTCTCGAATCCCGAATCGCTGGTGCTTCCGTCAGTGGTGATGTTCAGGAAACTGGTCGTGTATTGAGTGGGTCCTACTTCCCAACCTTCTTCACCGACTCTTTTTTTTTCCTCCGCGTCTTCACAATGTACCGCAGCCTGCCCTTTCTCAACAGCTCTTCATCCAACAGATCACACACTCCTTGAAGATGTTACACCTGAACACGCGAGCAAGTTCACTCACACACAGCCATCGGTGACGGTATCGCCCGTGTCTACGGTCTCCGCAACGTCCAAGCCGAAGAAATGGTGGAATTCTCATCCGGCGTCCGAGGAATGTGTCTCAATCTCGAAGCCGACAATGTCGGTGTCACCATTTTCGGTTCCGATCGTCTCATCAAAGAAGGTGACACTGTCAAACGTACCGGTCAAATCGTGGATGTCCCCGTCGGTCCAGCTCTTCTCGGTCGTGTAGTCGACGCTTTGGGTAACCCCATCGACGGTAAAGGTCCTATCAAGGCTGAAGGTCGTACCAAGGCTCAATTAAAAGCACCCGGTATTCTTCCCCGTCGATCAGTCCACGAACCCATGCAGACCGGTCTTAAATCCGTCGATTCACTCGTGCCCATCGGTCGTGGTCAGCGTGAGCTTATCATCGGTGATCGTCAAACCGGGAAATCTGCCGTGGCCATTGATACCATTCTCAACCAAAAGAAATGGAATGATGGTGCGGATGAGAGCAAGAAACTTTACTGTGTCTACGTCGCCGTCGGTCAAAAACGTTCCACCGTAGCTCAACTCGTCAAGACTTTGGAGGAAAATGATGCCATGAAATACACAATCATCGTCGCTGCCACTGCTTCCGAAGCCGCTCCTCTTCAATATCTCGCTCCTTTCTCTGGTTGCGCAATGGGAGAATGGTTCCGTGACAATGGCAAACACGCTCTTATCATCTACGACGATCTTTCCAAACAGGCCGTCGCCTATCGTCAGATGTCTTTGCTTCTTCGTCGTCCTCCCGGTCGAGAGGCCTACCCTGGTGATGTGAGTTCATGTTTTACGTCTAATGGTAGAATGCTGACAGTCCAGGTCTTCTACCTCCACTCGCGTCTGCTCGAACGTGCTGCCAAAATGAACAAAGACTACGGTGCCGGATCCCTGACTGCTCTGCCTATCATCGAGACTCAAGGTGGTGATGTGTCTGCGTATATTCCCACCAACGTTATCTCCATCACCGATGGTCAGATTTTCCTCGAGGCAGAGCTCTTCTTCAAGGGTGTCCGTCCCGCCATCAACGTCGGTCGTGAGTGATGCTTCCTCGAACATGCGTGTCCACTTGACAAACTCTCACCACCGAGCGTAGTGCCCGCACTAACCTCAGTGTCCGTGTCCCGTGTCGGATCAGCCGCCCAGACCAAAGTCATGAAATCCGTCGCTGGTTCGCTCAAGCTTTACCTTGCGCAGTACCGTGAGGTCGCCGCTTTCGCTCAGTTCGGTTCGGATCTGTGAGTCCAAACCTGCATGCAGTTTTGATTGCAATCGCTGATCGTTTCAGCGACGCATCCACTCGTTATCTCCTCAACCGTGGATCTCGTTTGACCGAATTGCTCAAACAACCTCAATACACACCCATGCCTACTGAGATCATGGCTCCTTTGATCTACGCCGGTGTGAACGGTATGCTGGACAAGGTACCCGTTGATAAGATTACCGCTTGGGAGAAGTCTTTGTGGGTGTTGTTCATGTTTCATTCCCAGATTTGTGTCATGATTCTCTTTCCATTTCCCTCCATTCGTTTATCGGCATCTGCCTGAATCAACCATCGCTGTTCTGTGGCCCCAGTGTCATCGGTCCAATCCACTCTGCTTGAGACCACACTGATATCCTTCTTGGCCTCCTAGTACTTTTAGGAGCCAACCCACCCGCTGTATACTTTACCAGGTTCGATGGACCCGCTGACAAACAGCACCGAACAACTCAAATCTCAGCACACTGGTCTCCTCGAAAAGCTCTCTGGGGGAGTGTTGACCAAAGAGATTGAGAGTGAGATGAAGACCATCATCGAAGCTCACGTCGCCGACTTTGTCGCTTAGAATATAGGTGTGAAGGTGGGGGAGAGGATTTCAAAAAAGAAAAAATGCATCGGATTGAACACCTCTGGGTGTCAGAAAACATGGCATTATTGACTGACGGGCGGTACGGTGTAATGTATTCGTACCCGACTACGAACGATGCGTCTACTACTATAGCTATAGTATGCGTGACGATTAGACGAGGGCGACGATTCTTGTTCTGACATTGAAACAATTTCAAATCGATATACTTGTATAACAACACTTAAACTGATTTTAAATTAGTAAGATATCAACATGATCATCATGGAGAGTCCCCCAGTGGTGATCAGAGAATAAAACAGAGGGATGATCCGACGGAGTACGGTCAATCTTGCGTAAATGCAACTTCACCATGTTCAACGTGCACGATATTTCCGTTCCGAACCTTGCGTGAGTTTGACAAAAGAGTATTGCATATCACATGAGAAGTTGAGGTGAGTCGATGTTATAAGTGTGAGGGAGATGGTGAGAAAATTCATTTGGTTTAGATTATACGATCTTACTCTTTTCCTCGCCCCAATTTCTAATTCTTCATCTTCTTTCCGTTCATCCAATTCACACAACCCTCCCTCTTCGTTGGGTGAACTCTCATTGCGGGACAAACGTTTAATCGATGTATCTCCAAGATTTCTGTTCATTCCCGCTGTCCCCCTCCACCCCTCTCTCCCCTCGAGAACACCGTCCTTTCCCTCCAAAACACCACACCTCCACTCACCGTCTCCTCCATCCTTCGAGATACGATCCCCTCACGAGCGATTCCTCCACGAACGACTCCGTCCACGAACATTCCTCCAGACTCTTAAAGTCTCATCCAACTAAGAAAAACCCTACACATCAAACTTCTGTTCACACTTTCATACTCTTGACTTTCCTTGCTCTCCCCACCCAACCCATTTCGTATTGTCCAGAAGATAATCTCATCCTCTGTCTCTCTTCATCATTAATATGTTCAGGTTCTAAATGTCTTTTCTGTCTCATTCTTCTCCTAGCGAAATTAAGGTCCGTAATGAGTAAATCCCATTGTGTGGTTTGGTCAAAAGTCCTTAATTCGTCTAAACGTTTTCGAGCTGATTTATAAATTTCATATTCGTTCTCGTTCGTATTCAAGTTGCAACTTTCTAAAGGTTTGTCAGGAACGGATTGTCCTCCTTCCGATATGACATTTACGTCCTCCAAAGCCGAGTCGGCCGATATGAGATGTTGAGATTCATTATCGAGATTTCTTCCTTCGTATTCGTATTGGGGATTCGTTCGACTTTGTTCTAAATCCCCGACTGACGATCCTGATGCGTCATTCTCGTGTGATTCGATACCTTGACCATCCTCCTCTTCTTTCTCCTCGTCCAATCCCTCCGACTTGACACACAACCCAATTATAGCTTCAGGTAACAACACAGAATTCAAATAACCCCTTTTCTCAACCTCCGACAAACTTTCATATCTCTCTGAACCTCTTTTTCGATCTCCTCGTTCTCTTAAAGCCCATCGTTGTAGTTCAGGAACTATAACCTCTGCACATTCTTTTTCTAGTATATCTCCATATTGTACACAACCACTTAGAGCTTCACGTTGATTTCGAGTACCGAAAAAACGATCGATACGCCATTGTGCTGGAGGATAATTTTCGGAGATAATTCGAGATAGATGAGGTCGGAGGAGAACGAGTTGATCTCTTCTTTCTAACTTCTCGAAAGGAACAGAGGGGTCGATGGAAGGGGTGGTTTGACGAGTGAGGGCGTCGCTAGGTTTAAATTCGATGGGACGGGTTTCCATTTCGCCGAGCTAAGGGTAAGTCATTGTCAGGAAAAAATGAAAGATTATCAAGAAATAGAGAGTTCGATGAATTATCAAGAGATGTAGAAATAAGAGGTTGTAGCATGAGACGTGACAGATGAACGGGGAGCGGAGTTAGGTACGGGTCATAGAGGTATAGGATCTCGAAAAGAGCATCACGAGACTAATCTAGAGGCGATGCAAAAGAACGTACCACACAATCCGCAATCTCAGCATCACATTGAAAGATGATATCTTTCCTTTTCAAAGCTGGTTTACCAGGTTGATACCTCACATCCACCACATACTGATCTTTTCCTTTCTTCTGCTCTTGGGCATTTTGAGCAGGTCGGAATTCTACCAATACAGCAGGCCAAAAACAACGTTGTCTTCTGGCGTAAACCGCATCGCCGATATTGACACTGATCATCAACATCTCTTCTTCTAGGGATGTATACGGGATATCAGTAGTATGCTAACTCACCTAACTGGAAGAGTGGTGGGACGAAAATTTTCCACCTTTGGGGGAGGGCGCACGACATCGTTTTCTGTTACCGGTCTTGGAGGGAGAGAAGGAGAAAGACGAGGAGCGAATAGTATGTCAAAGATACTAGGAAGGATTTCGATATCATCATCATCGTCATCATCATAACCGACCAAAGTATCAGCTATCAATGTTGAAGAAGATGTCGCGATGATTGGTGATGGACTCATTGGCTTGTTGAGAGAGAGGGCGTCCTCAGCCGTCTCAACGGTATTTGAGGCTCGTACAGAAGCTTTCGTCGTCTTTCTTCTCTTCCGTGTGGGTGTGGAGGAGCCGGTCGGGGGTGAGGAAGTGGGTTTGGGTAGTCTAGAAGAAGTGGCAGAGGTGGAACCTCTAGAGGCTGGACGTTTGGTAATACGAGGGGTGGTTGCGATAGGAGTTAAAGGGGAAGTCGGGGAGGGTTTTGGAGGTGTGGCCGGAGTTGCGAGAGAAGGATCATCCTGTGTTATCACTTTTGAAGACTTGTTCTTGCGCCTAGGAGCCATCGTTGAGGATCTGACTGTTGTACGAGTGTCGAAATGCGAAGCAGAGATCAGAGTAGTATAGTAAAGTGAAGTTATGTAGTAAGTTAGTGTGATGGTAGTGAGGGCGAAGATGTCAAAGACGGCAACGCGTATAACGTCATACAAACCGGCTTGACTCAACTTACTCTCCCTCCATCCCTCCTCTTCTCTTCCTCACTTTGACCATACAACGAGTAGAGTAGTGAGCAGAGTGGTGACGGAGAGGACTTCAACTGCAAGTGGAAAAACGCAATCCTCATAATGCCGAAACTCGAGACGGCTGCAGATCAACAATACCTTCATCAACTACCCAAGGTATCTTTTAGGATAGTCAATGAGCAAGTCGGACCGAAGAGTATTCCTTCGGTCCGTTCTCTTCTCTCTTTCTCTCCGACCATGCTTCTCTCCTCAACTCCACCTCTACCCCTTACTTGCCTCACCTCCGCTCTACCATTCCTCACTCGACAGTTTCAGGTGTTGTGTGGTTCTAGCTACCTACCCGTTGATGGACCAGCTAACGACTAGGAACAAATCAGACATTATGGATGTGTGTCTCCATCCGACTTGACATGGCGTGAGTATTTACTGATGATAGATACCGATGGATCGGATTTCGAAAGACCTGAACATTATATTCGATACATAGGTTAGTATCTTCTTTGGTCCAAGAGCATATGAAGAAGAGCAGCTGAAAAGAAGAACCGATAGAAGCCGAGTTAGCTGTCCAGGTGGAATATGATATGGATGAGCAGGGTGTGTACACATCAGCTCTCGCACCTCATCTTCTCTAATCTTTCTGTACTCTGTCTCTCAGACTCGCCGACTACTACTTCACCTATCATTGCAAGGCTTCAGTCGTTATCTTGATCAACTGACAACGTGGGAAATATCCCGAATTCACTCTGACAACCAGACAAAGAATGGCTAGACGCTGTCAATGCCGAACGTACTAAAGATCAGTCGGGTCCCATCAGCTATGAAGTGTTTGAGATCATCATGGATAAGTTGGAAAAAGAGTGGTTCAACCTTGTATGTTTATCGTCCCCGATCTCCCCTCTGGTTCCCCTTTCCCTCAGTCTTGCTCAAAAGTGATACCTCTCTTTCATTAGTTTTCGAGAGGCCAGGTTGATATGGTAAAGTGATGATTTCATGTGAAGTAAACTGACTTCAGATCAAACGCATCCCTCAACCAGCCTCCCATCTCCCCGTCGAAGATTCCCGCTGTGCTGTATGCGACGATGGCGAGGGAGAAAATTCCAACGCTATCGTTTTCTGTGACGGCTGTAATCTTGCTGTTCACCAAGGTCAGCTCGTGCCCCCCTACTGGTCATCTTGAGCTGATGACAGATTGTTACGGCGTGCCATACATTCCAGAAGGACAATGGCTTTGTCGTAAATGTACTGTCTCCCCCGAAAACCCTGTGGTGAGTCACACTTCATATTGCTCCTTCCTATATCTGATTGACCTAGTCATGTCTCTTTTGCCCGAACGAGGGCGGGGCGTTCAAGCAGACTACCACTGGTCATTGGGCTCATCTCCTCTGCGCCATTTGGATCCCAGAACTCATAGTTGGTAATCCAATATATATGGAGCCTGTGGATGGAGTGGAAACTATACCGAAGAACAGGTGGAAGCTGGTGAGTTGTATATTCTTCTTGTAGCTTGGTCAAACAAGGGCGGCGGCTAGATGCTGAGCTGATAGACTTGCTCTCTATGTCGCGAAAAAGTTGGAGCCTGCATACAATGCGCAGATAGAAGTTGTTTCGTCGCTTTCCATGTAACTTGCGCTAGACAACATGGATTGTTGATGAGTAATCGGACTCATAATACGGATGAGCTGCTCAAGGCCTATTGCCAGAAACACTTACCAGTGAGTTTTACTGTCTCCTTCGTTCGTAATTATATCCCAATACGCGAAGGACTCTCAACACATGCCACCCCCGGGTTGTACATGCATTGACGAGCAGTACGACGCCCGAGGGTCTGACAATGAAGATGACCTGGGGTCCGAGTATACAGAAGACGACGATGAGGACGAGGTTGAGGTCACCCGACCCTCTCGGCCTCGAAAAAAATCTGCTCCACCTCACTGCCGAGCCACCGGACCAGTAACCACCAAATCTGCCAGAGCTCACACCAAATCTTATCGTCCCGGACCACCCATTGTCCCTCGCATGGTCGTCAACAAGATCGAAGAGTATGTCGCAAAAATATCAATACGAAAACGACGTCCGTTCTTAGAAAGAGTGTGTAGATATTGGAGTTTGAAACGGGAGGCTAGAAGAGGTGCTCCTTTACTCAAGAGGTTACATCTTGAAGTGAGCTCCACCACCCCCAACACTGCATATGGGCGAGCTGATGACCAGCCATGGACCGCTTCATCAGCTTCGCGTCAACAGTCCGAAGCTGACAAAGCTCGAAAGTTGAAGGTTAGCTGCGTTGAGATGCACTTAGGTAGCTGACCTTGCAGTTCTTACAGAAACTTCGTATGGATCTCGATACTGTACGCACTCTGTGTGAATCGGTCAGAAAGAGAGAAAAGGAGAAACTTCGACAGACCCAAGTTATTAAAGAGATCATTGATAGTTTCATCTTTCCCTTGTATGGGAAATTACGCATTACATTGGATAAGATTTCTGCGTGAGTACCTATGCCTCTGCACTTGTCCCCAGTATCCCTACCTCGTCTTCTTGGCTCATGTTTGTTACATCCCGAAAATCTTTCGCAATAGCGTAGGTTTCTGTATGGATGCCAAACTGACGGTCAGGATGGACAAAGGGGAATTATTTCTTCGGCCTGTCAATATCAACGAAGTGCCCGACTATGCCACAGTGGTGAAAGAACCTATGTGCTGGTTGGAGATTGATGATAGATTGGAGAAAAATACGTATCTAAACATCGCGGAATTTAAAGTAAGCTCCTACCTGGTTATACATGAGCTGACCCTATGTAGAGAGATATTTGTCTTGTTCTCGACAACGCAATGTTGTACAATAACCCCGATACACCTTTTCACAAAACAGCTAAACGAATCAAGAATAACGCTCAACCTCTTCTCGACGAACTGGATCATTTGACTTCTCATTCCGTAAATATCTCTCAGCAATCTTCCAATGAACCTCAATCCTATTCGACTGTGGGAGACCTGGAGCCTTCCGAAATGCTTCTTCGATGTCTACTAGAACAATCGAAAGACGACGCAGGTCCTGATATCCTCGGATCGATATTTGGTTTCGCATTAGAAAAACCAAAACTTCCCACTCCGCAACTTCCGTCAAAAACCAAGATTCCTAAGAAAGTTCTGACCGCAGCTGAACGAAAAGCGAAATGGGAAGAAAGAGAGGCGAAACATAAAGAGATGAAAGAGAGATTAGGGAGAAGTACAAGAGCTGCTGAAGCTGCCGAAAAGGCTTTATACGAACAGGTGGGATATGTACCTTCGTCTGATCATGTGGACCCGGAATCACTCACAACTTCGAATCGTCGACGTAGTGGAAGAGTAAAGCTTGTAGAGATTACGGAAGATCAACAGTCGGTTCCGAGTGGTGAAGGTCATTCGGGAGATATGGTCGTACGCGGTCAAAAGGGTAAACAAGGCAAAGGTAAGAAAAAGGATGTTGAAAGTGGTGAGGTGGACAAGGAAGATGATAAAGATGTTGAGGGAGGTGAAGGGGATGTGGAAGATGTCAAACCTCAGCATAAAAATCAACGTGGAGTAGCGGGTATAGAGACGTTTGCTATCTTGAGTGATAAAGAACGTAGGAAGAGAGAAAGAGAGTTGGAATTGGTAACGGATCAAGTGGACTCTCAGGATTTGTTCAAGAGGTTCAATATTGGTTGGGTGTTGCCGGAAGGATCGAAGAGGAGGAGGTCGGAGAGGGTAGAGATCGATGTGAAGACGCCCAGCACGGGGAAGAGTAAGTCACTTTCATGTTACCTTCAATTTCCGCCATCCACCAGTTCCTACACTTGTCCCTCTCGTTGACCCTCCTATCTCTCACGTGTTGGCTTACCAATCCCTTCTCCTCAACTACGATCTTCAGCGCAATTGTGTGTTACACCACCTTTCACTTATGACAATGTGGAAATGCTCACAAACAGGTCTCAAACCCACATCTCGATCGGATCTCAAAGAAACCCCAGTCTCCATCTCCAGACTCAACTCTGGTAGTCTTTCACCTCTTCCTCAAACCCCCGATGCTCCTCAGGATCAGGCAGAGAAGTCAAGTACGTCAAGAAAACGTAAAGCGCCAGAAAACGTATCTGCGTCAAGAACAAGGAAGAAGTCTAAGTTTGAACCTGATGTAAAAACGGTTTCTACACCTCGTACGAATAAGAGGAAGCCAGTAGAGGAGGAAGAAGGTGAGGAAGAGGTCGATATCGACGAGGAGGGTGAGGAAGTGAATACTGATGAAGATGAAGAAATTGAAGAAGAGGGAAGTGTACAAGATACAACTCCAGGACCAATGTCGAAGTCTAGATCAGGAAAGAAGAAAGGGGATGAGATGGATGATGAAAAGTATCCTAATGGGACTTTGGTATGGGCCAAAAGTGAGTATATTTCTCAAGTCTATCAAGTCCTGTTCACTTGGTGTGGATTTTTCATATCACTTGATTTAGATACTTCGTATCACTTGATCTGTATACTTCGTATCACTTGATCTGTATACTTCGTATCACTTGATCTAGATACTTGATGTCACTTGATCTAGATACTTGATATCACTTGATCTGCGATTGTCAATATCACTTGATCTGGATTTTTCATATCACTTGTTCTAGATACTTGATATCACTTGACCTGAAATATCCACCTATGACAAGGAAAAGAGTCTTGGTGACAATACTCGTACTCTGATTAACCTACAGCTTTCTCTTACCCTTACTTCCCGGCTGAAATCTTGAACCCAAGTATGAACGTCAATGAAATCCCGAGGTCGGTGATGAATAAAAAACCGTCCAATAGAAAAACTTGGTTGGTGAGGTTTTACGATCCCAGTAATAGTTTCGCTTGGATAGGTGAAGATAGGTTAGATTTACTTGGAGAATCTGATGGTGAGTTTGGTGTTTTATTATTACTCTCTTATTCGCATCTCTGTGATCGAGGTGTGCCCCACTTCTAATGATCTACGGTCTTAGCGCCTTCACCTCAGCTGTTACATTGGTACACCAGCCACTTCAACCTTTCCCGTACCTCCACCATACTTGAATCATTGGTATACGCAATACCCGATTCCTTCTCTTCTCTCGAATACCCGATGTTCACTCATCTCATCTATCTCTCACGAACCTACTGGTTGTCAGGCGTCAGTAAGCAGAGATTTGCATGTATTTGTTGCTTGAATTTCCACCCACCCCCACTTTACTGTCTTGTATGTGAGATACGAATGCTGATAATGTAGAAATCGACGAAATGTATAATGCAGTGGGTATCTTGCTTCCCATCACTTGCTTCACCCGCCTCCTTCATACTTCATCAGCCCTTGTCAGTCATGCGTATGGTTCGTGTCCTCAACTCTGCCCGTGTCTCTTCAGACAACGTAATTGATGCCCTCGAAGACAATGTCCTCACAGGCGGAGACTCAAACTGACCATCAGGGAAAAGAAAGAAAAGGTGGGAAATCATTCAAGACGAATCATATTCGACAAGGTGTACGAAAGGCGTACAAGTGAGTTCATCTCCTCGTTCATGTCGTACTCCACTCCCTACACCACAAATCTGAGCAAAGTCGGTCACACTGTTGTCGTCTGTCCCTGTTCTTCCCCGTCTTTATGGATAAAGTCGGCCGGACTGTCATGTGGGAAGTATGACATTTGTCTATCCAGCCACTCTATCCTTTTTGACTCTAGACCTCACCTGTAAAATCAGCTCTCTGAACGCCTCTTTTTGCTCAGGGGAGTAGATGAATTGGAGTGAGAAAGACTGACATGTAGGATCGCATTGAGTCAACGCGAGGTGGAATAGGGATTATGCATCTTGTTCAACGTTCCACCCAAGTCATCTGGCTCAATGATCATATGACAAATGCAGCTCTCTTTATGATTTACGTTGTACCCACATCATGGGCCTGCCGCATGCTCTGACCTTGTGTTTGCTGGCTGTTCATCGTCAACTATTGTAGGCCTAGTGCTATCTACCTTGCATATATCGAAGAGGGTGGAAGCGGGAAAATGCGGGGCTCCGGGTCATATCCCACCTGAATTTTACTCAATTTTCCTCGTTCAACTAACTTCACTCTTCTCTGATCTCTGACCAACTCCACTTCTTTGATACCTTCTTTGGCGAATTGACGACATGATGGCGGTGAGTCCTCCACCTCTTTTCCCTCTCACGTGTATCTTATACTCTGGGATATGACAGATGATCATGATAGAGAGGGATCTTGGAGACAAATGAAGGTAAAAAAAAAGAGTACAAGCTGATACTTTCAGACATACATCTCACCTGAAGAACAAGATCCATTGGATTTAGGTTGGATGAGAGAAGCTTTAACAATGGTATGTCTTTTATTTCTTCTACTCCATCCAAATGAGAACCTTATCTCATCATTTTAGGCGGAAGAAGCTTTGGCACATGACGAAGTTCCTGTTGGATGTGTTTTCGTTAAAGATGGTAAAGCTATTGCTAGAGCTAGGAACAGGACTAATGAATGGCGTAATGTCAGTTGTTTCTTCTTCTTCGTCTCATCTTTTCTTCTACCCTTTACTCCCTCCGCATCTTTCTCCTTCCCGACTTTCTCCCCCGGTCTTCCTCTCCACTATCCTATGTTATATACGACAGCTGGCTAGCTTCCAGGATGCCTTTGAAAGGGATACAACTTCCCCATATCATCCACCCCTTCCGATATAGATAATGTACCCAGCGTGAAAACCTCACTAATCATAGGCAACACTACACGCGGAATTGGAAGCTATAGATCATTTACTCCCCCATCATCCAGCTCCATTGAATAGTATAACACTTTACGTTACCGTCGAACCTTGTGTCATGTGCGCTTCAGCTTTGAGACAGATTGGTATTGGGAGAGTCTTGTATGGTTGTGGTAATGAGAGGTTTGGAGGATGTGGGAGTTTGTTGGATATACATTCAACGTGAGTGGATTGAGGTTTTATTATCATACATCTTTTCTTCTTTTTCTTGTCATGATTCACCTCCTTTCCATCCTTATTGTCCATTACTGCGCTTAAGGTTTGATTACGGTCTATCGCTAATTCTACCTTTTGGTCATCCCTCTCTAATTGCTTTTCCTTCCTGTTCCCACTTTCTTTCCTGTCCCCACCTTCCCCCCCTGTTCCACCTTCCCTCTTGTCCACACTTTTCCCCCTGTCTATATACCCTCCCCCTCATGTGTTATGCTCTTTTGCATGGGCCTCGCTACGACCGGCCCAACCCATCTCCTGGCGTCTTCCCGATGACCAGTTTAAAGTCAAACCAGACGAGGCTTGCCTAACGTCCCAGACCACACCTCCCCACCGACCCACCTTTCGTAGCTCAAGGAGGATACTATCGCGAAGAAGCTATCATGTTACTTCGTCGATTTTACATGTCTGAGAATTCGAAGGGTAAGTTTACTCCCTTCTTCATCTTATGTTCCACTCTTCAAGTCTCACCCCTTGATAATTATTCCCTACCTGATTCTACAATAGCTTCTATTCTACAACTTCCCCTTCTCCATCCAGCCTCCTGCCGACTCACAACCCCACCCGAGCTGTCTTTCTTGCTCTACCCCACTATATCGGGCCCAAACCCCACTTGAGTTCCCTGCCCTTGCCCCACCCTCCGGTCTAATTGCGTTTCTACCTACACGAGGCATTATATCCATCCTCATCTGTGTTCAGACATGTTACTCGACATCACATATCCGTGACCACCTTCTCACTCACAGCCCCCCAACCAAAAAAGAAAACCACAAGGGTTCTCAAAACCAACATCCCTCCTCCTCCCCCTTCCCGTCCTTCCTCAGCTCTGAAAAATGTCCAATCGACTCCATCCTCCGCGTCTGCTCCATCCACCACGTCTACTCTCACGCCCGATTCTGATCCGGGGGAGAAATATAATGAATCGAGTGAAGGTAGCACAACAGCCGGTCGAGGTAGACAGGGATTACCGATCGGTTCGACTTTAGTAGCTACTCCTAGAAATATGACTCCATCTAGATGATAGTGTCACAATGCTTGTTATGCATGTAATGTGCAATGTATATCATTTTCTACGGTTCAAAATGCCAAGATGATCAATCTAGGATATAAATGTGTGATAGGTTACAACCAGGTAGAAATACAGTGGGAATATTCTGAAGCAATAATAATCAAGCATGTAGGAAAGTGACCAGCTGTCATATTAGTGAATTTCTGATCTGTAAAGTGATGAAGAAGGAGAGAAGACGTACATGATCTTTCCATTTATTCAATATTTCATTCAATTCAACTCTACGTAGTCCCGTCCGATAAGAAATCTCCTCGAATGTCGTCACTCCGTCAAAGTATTGTACGCATCTGGGTTGTTCAGTTCGGGCTCGTGGAGGTTCAATCCTGAGCGGTCCTCGGTGTAAGGTGCATGGCACAGTGATTTTCTATCCGACAGGAAATTCCAGGAGAATATCCATTAGAGATTCTTTGATGTAAAGACATGCTAAAATCGACCCTCGTGTCCTGAATTGTCTTTGACAATCTGGTATACAAACATGAGGAAGATCAGCTGTCCAAAAGACAGAGAGCAGGAGATGGCAGAGAGGAGAAACGTAGAGATCAAGGAAATTATACTGAGAGGTTCGAATCGAGTGAACGAGGGTGAAAACAAAACACGAAGATTGAAAAACACACTACGAGAGATGAAAAGAACTTGAACATCGATTGTACAAATAACCCGGTGTACTTTGTCACATGGACTGTCGAAGGATCAAAAGAAAGGAAATGGAACGAGAAAGAGATCTAGAATGAGATTGAGAATGAAACAGAAGAGAAGGAAGGACAACTTACAAATCAAATTTACTAGCCAACAATTCATCTGCTTTTTCCCTTATAACCCTCAACCATCTAGCTTCTTCTTTTTGAGCACGAGCTGGTCTGAATATAAAAGTAGGTTGGAAATTTGGGAAATCTTTTGGATCAGGATCATTTTGATCTATATTGAATATCATCTTCATTTCCATTCCTATCCCCACGCCAGTGTCTTCCGCTGCATCGGAATCTATCTCTAATTCCGGGTCGAACGTATCTGGTAAGTCCGGTGGTGGTTGTTGAAGTTGAGATAATCTTGTCATTGGGCTTGTCATGTGAGAAGTTTCGAGCGAAGGTTGAGATGGTTCAATCATGAGATTCTTATGAGTTTCAAGTACGTTTGAAGTGGAGATTGGTAGGTATGTTGATTCATGTGATGTGAAAGTGTTGTTGTTTTGAGATAGAGATGATGGGTGATGATTGTTGATAGTATTTGGAGGTGGGACGGTGACTAATGATTCCATTGGGTTTCTCTGGATAGCTTTCGGAGTGATCAAATCTTCCATATATTCTTCTCTCTCCTCTATTCCCCTATGTTCATTCTCTCCATTCTCTTCATCTCTCTTTTCCGCACGATCTTTCTCACTTTGTTGATCAACATCTTCCTTCCCCTTCTCAGCCAGATTCTCACTCGGTACTGACTCGTCGGCTGCCTGAGCCGTGGTTTTATCAACCGGATGAGGTGTCTCAGAAACCCGTCGTGACTCTCTCAATTGCGTTAACCGAATTCGCTCCACCCATCGAGCTCGCCGACGATACCACAACCTTTTCCAAGCTTCCAATTTCACTTCAGGGGTAGCTACTATTCTCGCACGCGTATGAAGCTGAACTACCAAATCATGTGCCAATAGCCAAACAAGAGCACGAAGGTATTCCGGACGGGCGGGACGGGTCATGGGGATGATATCGCGGAAGGGACCAGGTGAGGAGGATAAGAGAGAGAGGAGATAAGGGAGAGAAGGTAGAGTAGGGAAGAGACGTGAGAACTGAGTTGTGTAATCTGATATAGAGAGGCTAGTGGTGAGCAATTGAGACGGTGTATTGCAAGGATCATAGTGTCTGGGAAGAGAAGTCGGAAGATGGGAGTACTAAACTGAGACGAGTACGAGAATACGTGTATTGATGAACGATGAGAAGGGGATGAGAGAGAAGGGGTTCTTGATGATAGAGAGTGAAGTATATACGTACAGATGTTCTTGAATAGAAGTTGGAATCACAATACTTCTAAGATGTATATTCACAACATCTATCAAAACGGCTTTTTTGTTCTGTACCAACTCTCTAGCTAAGGGTACTACGATGGCGTCGAGGTCGCATCGGAGTATATGGGCTATATCAGCAAGGCTGATTGTCAGATCTCTCATGAATCAATGTGATTTCACGGGTGAATGAGACAAAAGGCTGAACACCGCATATGGATGTAAAATGTCAGGCGACGAATGTATGATATGGTCAATATCACAGTGCAATGGGAAATAACAGAGAGATCTGAAGGAGCAACCGAAATTTATGAAAGTGGAGGACTGGGGAGGGAACATTGAAAAAGTGTGAGTGTTAACTCACGGTTTAGTAACATCACAAGCATCGATAAAAGCTTTCATCAATTGAGCTTCACCTAAATCGCTCATCCAACTCCATTCCGTACCCAAAGATTCTCTTCCCCCTACATCTCTTTCCTGTATTCCACCAATCAACTCTCCTAGTATCTTATCTGACCTCTTAACATCATCATCCAATAACAACAAAGTTTGCCATGGTTCGACCCTAACTTTCCTTCTTCTTTTCACATGTGTCTCTCCCCATGCATCTTCCCAAGTATCTTCTTCTTCCTCATCATCATCCTCAAATTCCTCACTATCCACATCGGAGTTTTTGAGATCTGATCGAGGATAAGAATACGATTGATCGGTTTCCTCTTGATCATCAAGACGAGGAGATATAATCATACTCAAAGGAATATCAGCGACATGGACACGGATGATATTTGGGAAATAAGAGTACAGAGGGGTAGTAGGTTTATGACGAAGTTGATGAAGTTCGTAGAAAAGAGAATTCAAAGCACGATTTAGAGAGAAATTTTCTTGAAATATTCGAATGGCTTCGTGAATACTTTGATTCTCCATGACTAATCTATCCCTCATTTTACTCATCTCATAAGTTTCTTTAGCAACCCAATTCTCTCTCACTTGTAGAGCAAAAGCAGCTCCTGTCCATTTCCTAATCACCTCCCGATAGACCTCCTCAAATATGATAGACGAAGCGACTCCATCTTCGTAGTATTGACCTGATTTGGGATCAGGTTTGTCGAGAATTAGGACGAGGTTAAACATGTGTAATTGAGGGATCGTCTCTTCAGTGTCGTCTTTTCCTTCTCCATCACCTGCCTTCTTTCCATCCTTGTCATCTCCATAAGTCCCCTGCTTGTTTTGATCCTTAGCATATGTCTTCTGCCTGTTTTCCAGCGTCCCGCTCTCTTTGTCATCGCTTCCTATATTGGTATCTGTGAGAAGTGTGTGTTGCGATGCGTGTTGCGTATTCCATCCTGGTTTCTCAGGAGAATCCCCCTCCGTCTCTCTCGTTTCCACGACAGTTCCCAAACCTGTCCCACCACCTCTACCTCTTCTACCCCTTTCCGGTTCTTCCTCTTCTTCCGGATATGCCCATCTTCCGTCCTTTCCCGGACAAACAGGATGTCCAATGAGGACAACCTCATCGATACAAATTTCGAATTTCCTATGACAAGCTGATCTTGGAGGAGCGAGTAAATCACCTAAAAACTCTAATGAATAACCCATTGCGCTTGACCATTGTTCTTCCACATAAACCTCTATATGATCTTTATCCTTTTCCTTTTCTCTTACTTTCTCCTTCTCCTTTTCCACAGATTCTCTTCTATCTCTCCCATTTGTTTTCTCTACTGATTCTCTACGTCCAGTGATTTCATGACCGTTATTCAACGAAGAACCAGCATTGCTTCTTCTTTGAGTAGACCAAGGAAGGTTCATTTCTCTATCGGTTGAGCTAGAAGTTGAACCATCACTACTACTTCCCTCCTCACTGGCAGAAGTATATTCTCTTCCTTGTCGTGTGACAGATCCATTGCTACTTCCAGCCGTATGACCTCTCGGATCCACATAATATCTGGATCCTTTCTTTCTTGAGGTAGACGGTTGAGGGTGAGATTTCGAAGCGGAATGAGTGATAGATGCTGAACCTTTGGAAGATCTCGTAGCTCCCGTTCTAGAAGACAGACCAGGGAGAGCAAGACGACGTTTAGGAGCTGTGATGGCGTCCGTAGCGGTATACGTCTCGGTGGGGTAAATAGGTTGACGAAGTCTTTCGAGAGGTGAAGATGGGTCAGGTGGGTATCGCCAGACGTTTGTACCTCGTGAAGAGACGGTGACGAAGAGAACACCTAGGATATGTTCGGCCATGGTTCATGTTTGTGGTGGTTGAATTCGGATGTAGCGATTATGTATTCTTCTTGATATCTTGCTTGAGCTCAACCTCAATGTTGCAATGTTCGTCTTCCACTTTCAACGCCGGGAAAGAGACGAAGTGAAGAGACAATTGTGGGAATGATAGGCACGCGAAACCGTTGGTTAGGAAGATTATTCAGATTAAGTAAAGCAAACTAAACCAAGACAGGACTCAGCAGTCTGATTTCTTATCGATCAGGAAAAGTTAAGTAATTAATACTAATCCTCGTCTACCACGTGACCCATCCTTCTCCTTGCTCTCCGCGATCACGCAACATCTTCTGTATGGACATAAGGACCAGTTAGTACCTACCTACAACCACGACATAGACTTCAACATCAATATGGTCCTCCTTGATCTTGCCATACCTCTGCCACCATTACAACCCAACAACACTCTCTCCTTTTATCCCTATCCCTCTCATTCCCACTCTCACGTCCCAGGCCCTTCCACACCCTCTCGACCCAATCCCATCCGTGGCCCCCTTCCTTCTGCATTACCTACCTCTACTCCCAATGTCCCTAAAACTCCCATGGCCGGACTGTCGATGGCGTCGAACCATGAAGAAGATGGAGGGAGGTCCCAATCACGAGAGCAAGAACAGAGGATAGATCATCAAGCTTTGTTACGAGCTTTAACAGGAAAGAGACCGGCAGGAATGGAAGTGAGTAAAGTGTCCGAGTCTTTGGAAGAGGAAGAAGGTGTATTTGAGGATTATCGAGTAGGTTTTCATTCTTTCTTTTTCATCTCCTGAGGACATCATACGACTATCTCAGCAGCGCGCTAACACACAGCATTCTATCAACATGTTCGGAAATCGTTTTCTCCTACCATACGGTCTACGTCTCACTCAGATGGAGATGGATGCACAACCTGTAAGTTACTCATTTCCTCGAGGGTCATTGAGGCCCATTCATCATTGAAATCACAACACCCACCCCTTTTACTGTCTCTTAAACGCCGCGGGTATAAGGAATCTTCCATTTCCAATACCATCACAGACCTCTTAGAAAGATCAATATCAAAGGGACAAACTCTTCTCTGAAGTTTAGAGCCCAGAACCGAGCGAACCGGATCAAGATCGTCGACAAGAAGACGGAGCTGTACCTTCCGCCCCTCGGACAGGACGGACCGATGTAGGAATACAAGGAGAGGTAATGGATGGAATAGAGGAAGGGGTTGAAGAGGTAGAAGGGGATGAAGAAGTTGATTTGGATGCTAGTGTGGAAGATATGGATGATGGTATGATGGATGGTTAAGGAAAGTTTATGTCAGTTATTCATATTTACTCGTTATGACGTTCAATCTCTTGTCTCCCTTCCACGCTTATCTTTAGAATTTGCTCCTACACTTTTGGAATGGGATTGTCTTCGTATTGGTCATTCGGGTGAACGGATACTGATAACCTCCTCTCTTCACCATCCGCAGTTGGCTTGACACTTCTTGCGACTGATGGGCATAATACGTCAACATGACATGCAATGCATCGACTAAAATTCCCCTTTCCAACTTCTGTCTTCTCCATTCAATCCTCCTCCCCTACTCTTCTTCGGAATCAAATATCACTGACCCTACTAATGAGAACATCGAAAGAATCACTCTATGCGACACCCGTGGATGCCTGTCCGTTGGCTTTTTGATCCAGCGCGATGTTATTGTTCAACTTGGTAGTCTCCGCTGCGATATCCGAAGTTTCGTCGCTTCCCTGCGCCTGTTTGATTTGGAGACCTTGGATTTCACCGGTCAACTTGAGGACCCTGGAGGTGAGCGTGATTTCTATTGACATGTTTCCGTGATGGTTACCCTTCCTTCCGTCCAGGGCTTTTACATGTGAAGATGGAGATAAGGGCGGCCATGACAAGGAGTTCAGTGGGGGCGTCAAGACTATGAGAAAGAGATGCTGGATGAGATATGTGGGGAGGATGGGAAGAGACGGCATTGAAGGGATGGTAGTGAAGATATCAGGTAACACGAAGATAGTTGAGATGAAGGTACGAGAAAACACTCACTTGTTCTTGATTTTTCCATTTTGCAATGCGGTAGCTGCGGCTCCTGAAGCAGCTTCAATAGCGGGGTTGAACAGATCAGTCTCTGCACTTTCCGCGGCCTATTTGTCAGTCCCTTTTTTTTCTTCGCTTCCTTCCCCCCTCTCCTCACTCCCATCCCACTATCTATCTCATCCACAACTCATACCGTCTCCCTCACAGCTTCGAACTGATGAGATCCCCCGCTCGGGTTAACAGTTCACAAGCCTTCTTCGTGAATTGACGAGTGAACATGGGACAAAAAGAAATGAAAGATACGAAAATGGTTCAATGAAAGGAGAGTAAAAAGGAAGCTCAAAAAAGTTTTGCTGACCTCACGAAGATTTTGTAAATTGGTAAGAGAATCTTTCGATACTGTCGAAAGGTCACAATCACCAAAAGGATCCACAAACACAGCGTTAGCTTGTGCTTGGGCGTCTCCTGCCGTCCCATCGGATATTTGTATATCTCTAATTATCAGTTGACATCTATTTGAATTTCAAAATGTAACCTCTCAACTGAATCAATTTCTCTCATCAGAACCTTCCCCACACGGTCCATCAGGCAAGATGTGAATACGATTGGGACAGATCTGGGTTCCATCTCGAAATCACTCAGTGTGACACGGACATCATCCAACACCTGGAAAACCTTCTGACGGAGAACACACGTACGTAACTTAGATGAGGAAAGGGGTTGGTGAAGATTGATAAAATGAAGGATGTTGTCATGTGAAAACTTACGCATAATTGGTAGGAGGGAAATCAGTACATGTCGTACCTGTAGCTCTTTTCAATGGTGTAGCAGAAACCAATAAAAGAAGTGGTAGGAGAGATAAGAGGTTATGTACGAGCATATTGGACCGGCCTTTGAAGATGTTCAAAAAAGAAAAAAAGAGTTGAATAGTTAAAAAGGTGAGTGTCGAAAGTTTACAGTCGAGATGTCAAAAGTTAGAACGTCGATAGGAGATGAAAGAAGAAGTGCGAAAGAAGGATAATTGAAGGTGATACCTACCAGAGGTTACACAAGTTCTTGAAAAGAAAGTTAAAAGTGGAAAAGTGGATGTAGACTGAATCTCATGGTTGATCATTATATATCTTTCTGCCCCATGTCCAATCTCCAATCTCCAACGTCTGATGTCCGGAGCGTGATATAGAATGTACAGGTCAGATAAAAAGGAGTAAGAGTCTCCAAGTGATAAAAGGATTGACGTCGTCAAGATCAGATATGATTAGTTGAAATCAAGGGGGTTTCAGAATAAGGATTGAGTAGGGTTGAGTTGTTTCCTTGGAAGTCACCTCGGAAACGATGATTGATAGCGATCAGAGTTACTTAGTTGTGGTTGATTGTTATTCCCATTGGTGTGTTTGTAGTTCGTCACTAAGAGAGATCAGGAACGGAGGGAGGGGTGGTGAGTTGTAAGAGATGAGAGATGTGATGGACAGGGGAAAGTGGAAAAGGGGAAAGGGGGGATTGACCCCGGTTTTTTCGGGATGGTAACTTGGTTACTCATGTCGTGTTGATAAGGTTTCAACTCTGATCTCGGGAGGCTTGAGGTTGAAACGACAGGTTAGGAGAGAAAAGGAATGTAAGGAGGGTCGTCAAGCACTTTCACTCCCTGGGATTGAATTACGAATGTCAAGCAAGACACACGGAGGATATTTCGGTCCGTGCGGATTTCCCCTGATGCATCGGCTGTACTTGATGAATAGTGTGGGTGTGGACGGTGTGGACGGTGTGGATGATGCAGATGAAGGTAAGATGAAGTATGCATCTTTTTTCAACCGGCCGGTGATCATCTAATCCCTGCATGTTGTCGGAATGCAACACTTGTCCAAGTCGTTTCTTGATGTATCAGAGATTCCTTCCCAGTGGAATTTGGTATATCTGGATCATCCGTCGGTTCATGTCCGTGGGAAGGTCTATTGTCAGTAATTACGAATGAACATGTCAAAAGTAACCGCAAAAGAACATGTCCGGTCCATAAAAACATTATTCACGCCCATAGCACCTCTAAAAACGAGTCAGTACCAGGGGGAGGAACGAGGTGTGTGAGAAGAGGAGAGCAGTGGAACACGTCCAAGCGACCAGAAGCGACGGAGGGAGACTTTGTCAGCTTTCATGCGGTGATGATGATGATCAAGTAGGAACAGAAGGAAAATCGAGCATGACGATAGGGAGAGAGATCGCTAAATAGAGCAGTATGCTATGAGACATGGTTGAATGGACTCACGCCGATGGCGCACCGAAAATCTTCAATCCCCTCACATGCGTATCTTTCCCATTCAGATGATTAGCAAGGACTAGGATACGTAAATGATGACAAGGTATTGGAGGTCTGAAATTCAGCTTTGGTGATAGCGACATATACGCAGCTGTAAGAGATATACGCATTTCTCTCTCAGTCGTATGCACAGATGAACTGTTGTCTGTGGGGAAAGGCAGGGGGGGGTTATCATAGTGTAGGATGTAGGATATTGGTTGAGAAGGGGTACATGGAGAGACGTGAACTGTAAATGGACGAATCACTCACCCTTCAATCATTTGTCCTTCAGGTGAAGAATCATGTGGTCGAAGAGGTATCAAAAGCCATCCGTCTGGTTTAAAGAATTCTTTAAACATCACCTGGGATCAGGAGGATGTATCAAAGATAGAAAAATGATATACCTCTTGTAAATCATGTAGACCTGTACCGGCTCGTATGGAAAGTTTGGAAGGGGTGTATGAGTCGTCTCGTGGGTGAGATGTATGAAGTGCAATGGACTGAGGGTCAGTTGATCTTCGGATTTGGCTTGGAAGGAGTATTAGAAGCGTGGGTGAGCAGTGAGGTGGGGTAGAAGGGATGAGTGCTCGTACAAGCACCAGGTTTCCTTACTGAAGGGAAAGCAAAAAGTGATGGTCAGGAAGTAATGTTGAGAGATTGATGGTCTGGGGTTGGATATGAGAGATAAGTTGGAGGGAAGAGAGGAAGACCAGAGTGAGATGACTAACAGATATGAAGACCCGTTTTGGGAAAGCAAGATCGATAGTGTGTGGTTGTGGACCTTCTGATCTGGTCATGAGCTAAACATTCGTCTACATGTAAAAATTCCCAGGATCGACCGACGGTAAGTTGAGAAAAGTGAGATTCCGCCAGCCCGCCAGATAAAGATCACACTGTGAGATACGACATAGCTACCGACCACGATAATCTCCAGAGCTCTAGCCAGAGCGAAGCATAGAAGTGTATTATACCATCGACATACACCAGGTAGAGATGATTAGAGGAAACAGCATGAACCTGTGTGATTGAGGGGCGAGGAACTAACTTTCAGAGCGGGGAGGGGGGGGGCAGAGGAGAAACAACGACGCAAGAAGCAGTACATGTAGCCAAGGTTGAAAGACGGATGATTAGATAGATTGATAAACAGAGGGGGAAGGACAGATAGGGACAGAGAGGGAGACCCTGTACCCACTGCCAAAAAGTATTCTCATTACCATCTTGTAAATTCTCCACCCCAAACCCATACTTGTGTGAACTGACGGACCAAGTAGCCAAATGACCTAATTCAGGTCTATCAACTATAAGTGAGTGATCAATTTTTCAAAAGGTTCCCTCAATGTCCTTTTAACATCTTATAATGGTAGATAAAACCCGAAAGTTACTACTTCGAATTAAGAGCGAATCACATTGTCTTCAGGGTGACATGAGGATGGAGATAATCTTGAATATGATAGTAATCCCTCGTTCAGTACTTTGAACGAAGTGGAAGTCATGCAGAGGTGATAAGATCGTTCCGAGTCTAACATGACTTTATTTGATTACGAGATATGAACGATGTATTTGAATCGAACATTGAATATGGAAAGATGGAGGGTACTTCCATGAGATTTGTATAAAGAAGAGAGGAAGATGGAACATTGGTAGTACGAAATAACATGACGATGACAAGGGTATGATGGAATCATAAAACAGGAGTAGGCGTAAGTAGATTCTTCAGAGTATGACAAATATGAAGAGAGAAGAGATTATTAGGGAAGAAGAAAGAAAGATGGAGAAAGACTAACGATCAATTTCAAACATACCCATTCCTTCATCTTCAGAATTTACATCTTGTTCTTCTGCCATCCTACGATACCACAGCTACCGAACAGACGAGCGCAAACCTCGGTGGTCGGTGGAAATGACTATTTTTATGGAACAACCTGATGTTATCTGCCTCTTCTCCCGATCTCACTCGACGATCGACGTGTTGTTACTCTGCCGTCTTACTGATTCTCATGAGGTTTTCACCACTGGAAAGATGTTTGATTTGTTAAAAGGGTAACTTTATAGTAGATGTCAAAAGTCGAAAGTTGATGTTGAAAGTTGGTAAGTAAGCTTAGGGGAAAGACGCGACTGATTTGATACTCTCACCTCGTCTCTTTGACTCTTCCCCACTCAACCTTACTTGTAAGTACCACATACCACATACCGTGTAGCATGCAGCACGTAATGGATCAATGGATCGCCTGGCAGAACATATGAGTAAAGTATATGTAACATGTAGCATGCAACTTGCAACTACTTGAAGTCGAAGCGGACAACTGAGAGTTAAAGTGGAGAAACACCACAGCTGGTTAGAAATCCTTTCATTCTTCATACCGCATGTCATATCCCAAAATCAAAAGTATAATCCTACACAAGAAATAAATAAAGTCAAAAGAAAAATCGTATCGTTTCCGTGATTCCCATCGTAACTTTTTCAACCTAATTTCAGATCCCAACAGATTCCCGAGTGAAACCTCTAACGCCGTCCTCGTCGAACTGATTCCTCACCCCACCTGGCTACCTGTACCCTCATAAACGTAACAGCGAGTTTTACCCTCCTATCAGATACTCGTACATCTAAGACGAGCTGTATCGACATCCATGACTGAGTTCTATATCCCCACCCAAACCTGACCTCCATGTTGACATTCAAGCAAAACTCAACCATCCACCACCACTTACGAGTGAGAGACAGCTATGGCCTGACCAACGTGAAAACTCGTGACTGACATAAACCTCACGCCCCACGTCTAAGGCCTCCCAGCCCATTCCCCACTCAACTGCACTATCTGTTGTACTTCAGCAGTACAATACTGTCTCTCGCTAGAAGTTCTAGTAGTCCATGATTTCTGACCACGTAGTACGACCGCCTATCCATCAGCGATCATCCCGAGTAAGAGTGATTCAACAGGTGAGTTTGTCTATCCACAAGGTCGACTAATAGTTGATGAGGAAGCATCTCTCTATCACCATCTCCATGCTCATGTCTCATGATACTCGTCAATGAAGTTTACTCGATGCCAGTGGGATGACTCGTCGATTAAGGGTTTCATCCCTTACGGTTCTCATGAGGCAGTTGATGACTATCATGACGGTTATGCCTTTTCAGATCGTCATGCGATGAATTGATGGATAGGGAAGGGGAAAAGTAAGAGGGAAAAGCAAAAGCAAGAAGGAAAAGCAAGACGGAAAAGTAACAGGGAAAAGTAAGGGGGGAAAGTAAAGGGGGGAAATAACGGGAAAAAGCGAGAGGGAAAAGTAATACGGGCAAGCAAGACGGAAAGTAAGAAGGAAAGTAAAAGGGAAAAGTTAGAAGGAAAAAGCAAAATTCAACTCACCTGTTGAGCAGCATAATTCCTATGATCTCTCTCAAACATCTCTTTATGTTCTTCTAAACCATCCAACAACATATCTAAATCTGATATGATAGCATCTAAACCTTTTGTTGCTAAAATAATTTGAATTTCTTTTTTCGAATGAGATTTTGTTGAATTTCCACTTGCATAACCTCCTATTCCTTCTCCTCTATAATTACCTCTTCCTCCTCCTCCTACTCCTGTTCCTACTCCCATTCCCATTCCACCAGAAGATGACATATGATCTCTTCCCATTCCACCAGAAGGAGACATATGATCTCGTCCCATTCCACCACTAGAAGGAGAAAGACGATTCTGTGAAACACTCAAACCTTCTTGAACAGTCTCAACTATCCTTCTTGTTTCTTTCAAAATCCTACTTGCATGAGAGAAATTTTTCCTACTGGCGATTAACAAAGCTCTTGTTATCATATCGCTTGTTAAAAGTTCCATTCTTCTTCTCACTATCATAGGATCTGGATTACCGTTTCCTCCAATTCCACTTCCATTTCCACCTCCACTTCCATTGACATTCCCACCTCCATTGACATTGACATTTCCGTTACCGATGGAATTGGAATTACCGATGATATTGGAACTACCGTTGATATTGGAATTACCCGTCGGACTGACTTGAATAGATTTACCAGTATCAATAGTCGAATTACCATTTATACTCCCATTGATGGAAGTACCATGTAGACTTGCATTGATATGACCAGGAGAAAAAGTCGTGGTTGAATGTCCATTAGAACTAGTAGGTTGGAAATTCGAAGAAAAGTTTGTACCTCGGAAAGGAACTAGAGCCAAAGTCAACAAAATAGGATGTGTTAACCTAGCTACAGATCTTCCTACAGCTGGATCTGAAAAAGAACAATCAACTTCAACAACTGGTACTTCGTCGATCATTTCTTCCGAATACATGTTTTCTCTTAAAGCGTTGGATTCTGATACGCTCAAAGTATCGATACCTAATCCTATAGTTGATATTCCTGATCCATGACCTATACCGACATGTGAGTTTGGAATACCGCTTATACCATGTGAGTTTGAGATACCGTTATTCGAAGAACCGGACATAGGATAAGGATTCGAAGAAGGATTTTGACCATGAGGTAACCCGGTAGGAATAGAATTTGGATTATGTTGATAATTGGAATTTGTCGAAATAGAACCACTTCTACCTGAAAAAGAAATCTTTTTCTTCATTCCTCCTCCACCATCCCCATAAATCCCATTCTCTTCATATTCTTCACCTGAAGATCTAGGTGAACCAGAATCTATCAAATCCAATTCAACCAAAATCTCTCTAATCTCACCAAATCTTAATTCTTTCAATTCAACATCAACTTCTTTCCCACTCGTACCTACAATAGCTTGTATAGCACCTGAAACTTTAACGACTTTGAAATCGTTTTCAGTACAATTCAAATGTAACTTCATATTGGTAATGGCCACACTCATCAAACCTCCTATGATCCCAGCTAATGTATCTCTTAAATCATACCATTCTTTTACGAATGTATAAGTACCGTTCGTATGATTTGAAATCATCCATAATGGTGATGGATCATGTGATTTTCCATATCCTAATGAATGTACTGGGACATTCGCAGCGTCTAATCTTGCTGCTACTAAATCCATTTGAGCACGTTTGATTATATCTGAAGTATCGGAAATCAAAATCATTCCTGTTATTGGGTTTTTGGTTTTACGTTGAAGTACGACGTCTAATGCTACGTTGACAGCAGTAACAACATCTTGTCTTTCTTCTCCACCTATAACAGCTTCGTATTCGTCTTCATCGATTTTACCATTACCTAATAATTCGATGAATCCATTCAAACGACGTCGAGATTCGGAGTAAGTAGGGTTTAAGAAAGGAGTTTTTCGTACGGTACCGTTTGAACCCATTTCGCAAGCTACCAAAGATAATCGATCACGGGATCCGAGAAGAGCGCAAATGAAAGATAATGATTGTCGCATGAGTTTCACTTTCAGAGGTGTGGCCGAAGAAGTTGGAGAAGGAAGAGATATGATAATGACTAGATCCAATGGTGTGTGGACAGGTGCGAGAGGTGGAATCGATGTCAAATCGATGGATTGTTCTGTTTTGGAGGATGGTGAAAAATTCGAGGTAGCAGGTGTGTTGGCGTATGAACCTACACTAGGAGATGTCAAGTCTCCAAAAGACATACCTAAACCACCAGAACTGTTGGTGGAAGGACTTCGAGGATTGCTACTTTGAGGTAAAGGAGCACCGTTCCCCATCAGTTTAGAAACTTTGCTTGCGGAATTACCGGCAGAGTTGGTAGGTCGTACTTCTTCCAATAAACGGTTCAAATTCCCTTTCCAAGTTTCGTGAGATCCTCTGTCTTTGAAAACGAGGATAAATGAATCCATACTTTCGTCCATCATGGTGATTGTCAAACTGAGTTCGTTGGACGTAGATGAATCAAGGATTTTCCTCACATGCTTCATATAAATCCTTCCCTTTAGTTTGAGAACACCTCGTCCTGACGCTCCAGTATCGTTGGATCGAACGGATGAGGAAGAAGAAAACAAACTCTTCAATCCGGATTTTCTCTCTTCCGACACACAAATGAGAGCATCTTGGAAGAGGTAGACGTGAAATTCACGGATCAATGGACCTTTTCGAACATACAGAAGGTCGAATAGTCTTAAAGTTCCCAGGGTGTCCAATCCGGAAGTGCGGTAATCCTGTACTCTGTTCTTCAAATCATTGATGACATGTCCGAAAGAACTAGGTGTGGCGGCAGATGTGACGGATCGAGCAGATGTTGGAGCCATGTCAGCAGGATGAGATGATGCTGATCGAGGAGAAGGAGGAAGTTGAGGCGAGAGTTGTGATTCGTTGGAACCCCCACGAACCATGTCGAGACGAGGTCGACCTTGATATCGACCTCGTTCACCCGCAGGAGGGACTTCGACGGTGATCATGGCAGTGATTGCCTGAGCACCTTTGCGAGATGGATTACGAGTTATGCTTGGATACTCGGAACGGATTGAGATAGACGGTACGACGACCTTTGAATCAGCGTTGGCGGCGCGGGAAGGAGCTTCGAGTGGGTCATCAGAGTTGGCATCGCGTGGACCGTGCGGTGAGAGGGGACCACGCCCGGAGCCGGACCTGATGGAGGGGGTGGAATGTGAATGAGGAATGGATGGTTTGGCACCACCTTGACCCATGAGGAGGGCCAGTTCTACGAGTCAGCCAAGATCACGCAATGTCATGTATTTTATGTGAACAATATCTGCAACAGCCGACCAGGTGAATACCATGAAGATGTCCAGGAGATCATGTGGAGTGGGCTGGATCACCAATAGACAGAAGGCAATTAGGGACGAGATATTTGGTGGCGAGTGTGTTACGGTGACAGAGGTCGAGCTGCCTCGCACGAGGCGAAATTGATGTGTGATAAACCAGGGACAATTAAACCCTTCGAAAAGAAGCACTGAACTCACTATTACTCCCCCGAGCTTTCCTATCTTCCTTATCCGCTATACGCATAGGTTGACGACACACGCCGCAAACGCCGAGGACCTTTTTGGATCCCTCAGGAGGGACGTCGCCGTAAACCGTGACGAAGCATTCCTTTGAGTCAGTCTCGATCGTCCTTCGCCTCTTTGCCGCGGTCTTCTACCTCTTTACCTCCTTGGGGATTCGGGAATGGTCTATATGACGAAAGCTTGAGCTCGGGCCACGTCAACGTGTCATGGATGGAGAGGAGAGCTTAAGAGAGATGATCAGGTATTTCTCTGATTTGAATGGGATGGATAATGATTAGAGAATGTCAAGACAGAGATGTCCACTGATTGAATATACACAAAGCATACTTTACAGGTGGCGACACCATGATTAGGTCAAGATCGTATCTTTTCAAAAATGGAGTGACTAAAGACGGAAACGTATGAATGCACTCACATGATGTAACGAATGTCCACATTCCGGTACAATAGGAGCTTTCTCTCCTGGTAACCTAAAAGTGAAACTCAAACTTTCCACGCAAACGGGACAAGTTTCCTCATCGACCTCTTCACTAGAAACTACTCTTTGAGCCATAGTAATCCCTTGATTCCTATACCCTTCAGCTAAATTCGGTTGAGAACGTGAATTGGACAAATTAGATCCTATCAATGTAACGTCGACACGTTTTTCGTTGGAAGGTGTGGATGGTCTCAAAACTACGTTTGCGAATGGATGAATATGTGGTTTTGATTTGAGTTTATTGGAATTTCCCGAATAGGTGGAATGAGTGGAAGAAATCGTTCCTGTTCTGTTTGATCTGGATTTTACTTGATTGTACAGGTTGATGTTTAAAGGTATTAAAGTTGAAGAAGAAGAAGAATGAAATTGAGAATGAGAATGAGAGTGAGATTGATCAGCCGGAAGAGTGATTTGACTAGTCGTGTGGTAGTTGATTGACCCCCTTTGAGAAGGATCGTTATCAAAGTCAAGTTGATCCCTTTGTATCCTTTCTCTTTTCTCCCCTCCTTCTCTATTCCCTCTTTCTATAACTTCTCTCTCTCTTCCTTGGAGATATGTCTGTTCAGGAGACGGATCCGGATACCTCGGATCGTTGTCGGAAATAGGAGAGAATTCTCTATCTGTAGGAGAAAACTCTACGTCTACTTCTTCGTAAACTGTTGAAATATCAGGTCTTTCAAGTGCTGAAGGATATTTATCGTGTAATCTTACGGAAGATGTATCAGAGTAAAGTGATGAACTACTAGAACTTATAGCTGTGAAACGAGAATGTCTTCTCAGACTGAAATTACTAAAGTTTGATAATGTCGATGGAGGTGAAGCTACGTCTGATGATGGATTTCTCGATGTTGGAATGGAAGGATCGGATAAGGTTGATGTTGTCCTGGTAGAGAATGGTACTGAAGGTGTTGGTTTATGATGAAATGGATGTTGGAGCGGTGGTCTAGTGTCTGTGCGTTTCAGCTGGTGGATGTGTCAAGATTACTAGATAAGGATGAAATTCGATAAATGAACCGATATGGAAGAAAAAAGTGGTGAAGAGAGGAAGAAGAGAGAAAGAGAAGAAGGGACTGACCGTTGGGGATGAGATCGCCACCAGATTCTAGTGGGAAGGACATCGAAACGATTGGATTGTCTTTGTCTTGCTCCACAACGTGATCTCGGTCAGACAGGGCGAGGGGTAGGGGCGAGGGCGAAGTAGCGAAATCGGGTATATCACTTTTGTCGATCAGTGTCCTCGAAGAGAACAAAGAGGTGGGAATAACGTCGTCTGGTGCTTGTTGTTGTTGTTTCTTTAACCCCCGGTGGTGCTTCAAGACGGAAGGACCGACGTCATATGTGTGAGACGGACAATAAGGAGGTTGTGTGTCCTTTACTGGTGGAGGACAAAAGGGTAAAGGAAAGGATGAAACGTTTGGGTTTGTGGGAGATAAGGAAAGTGTGTGGATGTGTGATTCGGATGGTGTGTGTGGTGGTAGAGTAGGGGAAGAATCGACGAGGATGTCTTGTTGTTGTTGTTGTTGTGTGGGAGGAGGAGGAGTAGGAGTGAAAATTTCAAACCAAGAAGAGGAATTTTCGAGTGCACGGACGTACCCCATTTCGACACTAGGCACTTGTACTCTCCCTGCACCTACACCTACACCCTCTCCTACCACTGGCACACTACGTTCCATATCAGACAACCCGAAAGCACTCACCCTCACACCCGCAACAGCTAGACTATCCACATGACCAGCGTTAGGATCAGGTGAACTTGGACTGCTGAGTGGGACATCGGATGGATAATATCTATGTCTTTCCATTTCCTTCTGTGTGATTATGGATGGTTGTGGCTGAGATAGAATAATATTGTCATCAAAGGGCGTTTGATGCTTATTTTGATCATCAACCCGTGTGTCCCTTTCCCTTTCCCTATCACTCTTATCTTCTTTATCCTTTGATTTTTCCCTCTTTCTCATCATGAAACTCCATCTTCTTTCTAATCCATTCTTGACTACTATCCCACCTTCGTCTTTATCCGTAGAGACAGTTGAGAAGAAAGATAATCTTTTAGATATTGTGGATCGTTTGGAATCAATTGAAGCTGCTCGATGTAGTTTCTTGGCGTTCACTTGGACCTGAAATGGTTCAACTTGATGGCCCTGGGGTAGGAACATGATGGCTGGACTTGATCGACGTCTATGTGTTTCTCTGAAATTCGACGAATGAGAACGTTCGAATGAAGAAAAGGTTGTTGAGATTAGAGGAATGTGCGAAGTGATCTGTGCAGAGGCGTAGTTTGATTCAACGGGGGAATTCAAAGATGAAGATGAATAATCACTGAACGTGAGTTTTGTTTTGTTTTTCTTCCCCTTCTTATCTAAACATCAAAAATGTTGTATAACCTCCGTTTTGACGGAAGAATTAAACTTTTACTTATTGACCGAAAACAATGAAACTCCTAAAAGTGGTGTACTGATATCTGACCTCTGCCCGTTTCTAACTGAAGAAAGTCGTGACCCTCTCCGTCTACTCTGAAAGAGAAAGTTGACATGTCCGTCTTACTGAGAAAAAAAAAGGGAAATAACGTAGACTCACCTATCATAAACCTTTTTGTCCAAAGTATCAAGATCATCAAAAAACGAATCCAAAACAAATGATAAAGTCATAGGAACATTAACGTCTTTATCATCTTCAAAAGGAGAAATATCGATCAAAAGGGAAGAAGGATCCATCTCCGTCTTTTCATCCTCGATTCTTTCCCCTTCTCTTTCCTTTTCTTCTTCTCTTTGTTGTTGTTGTCTTACGTCCTCCGAGAGATCCGCGCAATCCGTATAGTCCGGGAGGTCCATGCGGGTCGACTCCAAGCCAGGTGACCGATCTGAGATATTGGACCTGGTGAGGGACGAAACATCTTCAAAGGGTTCGGAAGACAAAGGGGAAGAAGGAACATCTATCTCTCGACGCATCTCCTCATACTACTAGAACTAATTCAAACCTTGGGTGGGACTCTAGAATTGAGATGTAAAGACAATAGAGAGGGTTGGAAGAGATGAAACGATGGGAAAGACATTGTACGAGTACTGTATACCACTACGGGGGGCAGGAACGTCGGAACTTCGGTAGGTCGGTACGTCGGCCGTCGGAAGGTAGAGTAGGAATGTCGGAGGGTAAGTAGTAGGAGGTCAGGGGAACAAAAAGATTTCTTTGACTTTTCGGATTAATTCATTTCGACTAAAAGAACGATGTGGAGAATTCCCCGATCGCCGATGAAAGAAATTTAGAAATCGTGTTGAGAGATTGTGATCGAGGTGGGTTTGTACTTCACACTTGGTTCTTGGTCCCATGTATCCATGTTTCCATGGCCATAATCCATGATTGAGAGTCGAGAATGACGATTTATCAAACTTGAGTCAGTCGTGAGAACTAAATACTTGAGGCATGGGGCAAGTACTCAATCTGTTAATTATATCTTCCTGGAGCAAAGTATCTTGTATTTTCCACCCCAGACACAACTTTACGAGGTCCTAGGTACAGCTTACATCTGACATCTGACATCTGACTGTAGGCCTTTAAGAGTTTGAATCGTGACATATCAAGATATGACATTATAGTCGAATACCACTGCACCACCGCACTATGTACACTCTTATCACTTCATAAACGATATAAACTTAATACGCTCTCATTACTTCATTACCGACATAAACTTTATCATATCCCTAACTAACCCATTCACTTTCATCTCCATTCCATATTTCTTACCCATACGTATAACCCAACCGTTCATATATTCAATCTCAGTTTCTCTACCTTGTTTTATATCTACCGCCATACTACTTATATTATCTTTAGTGTTATTTATTAATTCTTTTGATTTTTGTACTAAGATACCAGGTGAGAAAAGACGTAATATGTCTGATCCTATAATTCTCCTTTCTCTCTGTTGTTTTTGTCTTTCGAATCTCTCAGTATGGAAGTTATTTCCTCCATCCCCTAATATTCGTGGGGTCATACTTGACTGAGAAGATCTTCTTCGATCTCCTGATATTCCTGGGGTCATACTTGATTGAGAAGATCTTCCTCGATCCCCTGACATTCCTGAAATCATACTTGATTGAGAAGATCTTCCCCACTCTCCTGATATTCCTGGGGTCAAACTTGATCGAGATAAACTCGAAGGGTTGGGTGTGATCGAAGGATATAAAGAATAAGAATCAGAAGGTTGAAAAGGATTTGAGACTTCCTCTAAATATCTTATCATCACTGGTGATATTTCCCTCGCTAATTCTCTCATCATCCTACTGGCGAATAAAGAGTTCAACAAGGCTCCATTTGGTAATTCACCTTTACCGAGTATTGCAGTGAGAGGGTTTATTATACTATTCTGTGCGAGTTTTAGTGATTGAATGACGTTTGAATGAGTTTGAGGTATTAGTTTAGGTGAAAGATGATGAAGTGATAAAAGAGCGGAGAGTGTTGTATGTAAGTTTGAAAGGTTTGTTCGGGGTGAGTATGTTTGAAAATATTCCTCAGAGGTATTGGAAGATTTATCCATGTCTGATGATATACCGTGACGAGTATTCGAGTAAAGGCTCGAGATGAATGGGGAAGAATCGTTTGGTATTGAGGAGTTGCTTGGAGAGTATGAATATCTTCTTGAAGAGTTTATCTCTCCATGATGGTTTTGCGAATCTGAAAAGACTTCTTGTGAATGTTGAACACTCGAACGAGTTGTGGAATTCGATGGAAGGTTTGACGACGGTGAGTCGAGATTTGAGTATGTTCCGATAGTTCCAGGGGGTAAACCAAGAGGTAAAGAAGGTGTTTCAGGAGGATCTAACAAACTCCTATTCGAAACTTGATTACCCCATATCCAACTTTCTAAATCAATTTCCCCTCTTGGATCATTTACCAAACCCCATTGAATTTCACCTCTTCCAATAGCAGAACGATGAATGACCTCTCCTCTTATATCCGTAGGAGCAACACCATGAGTGGTAGTCCCTATCAAAAAGAAAGGTCGGGTAGTTGGATCAGGCCATATTTGATCACATAATTCATCATATGTACCCATCCCATTTTGCAGAAGGGCGATTACTGATGAAGGACTTAAACGAGGGGCTAGGACGCGGAGAGAACGAAGTGTGGAAGGAGCTTTTAGACATACTAGAAGAGATGAGATAGGAGAAGAATTGGAAGCAGAGAATATTTCTTGGTTGTATGAAGTTGAAATGGTCGTACGACCAGATCGAGTGACTGATAAGTTTATTTCTTGAGTTGTGGGGTTGGAAGATGATGAGAATGAGTCGATGGAGGGATCATGATCATCCATGTCATCAGGGAAAGTATTGGAGAAGGAAGTATCGTTGGGTGATGATGGTTCAGAGGGAAGAGGAAAAGGTCGTTTAAGTATGAGTGTTATTGGTAAATTAGGAAGAGAAAGTCGAAGATGATGAGATAAAAGAGTACCGATAGATCCTATTCCCAACTAGATGTTAGTCCTTATCCGTCCTCATTGACACCTAGTAGAACGAAGTGAGACACACACCACATGCATTCTCATCTTTTCATATTCTTTTAAGGATGATTATCTACACGTACACATGTTTGAATCGTGTCGATATATGCATTGGAGCTGTGAAGAGGAAGATAAAAAGACAAAAAGGGATGGAAGAGATGAGGAGGAGGAAAGCGTTCGAGTGCCACTTTTAAAAGAAAATACGAAGTGCCGCAAATTTGGTCCATACAACCGCTGTATCCCCATCTTCCTCCTCTCTTTCTTCACTCACTACTCTACTATCTCACTCTGTCATCTATCTCATCTGCTCAACATCTCTTGACAAACCTTCAGTTGTCACACCGAATCCCTATATCATCACTCAATAACTATTCACTCCAAAAACCACTCGTGAAACCCTTCGAGGTGGGTGACAAAACTTCAATTCCCCCACCCGCCATTTTTCTCATCTTTCAACCCCATCTACAATAGTCAACTCAACTCTTCAACACAGTCACCTCCCCACCCTCATTCCTAACCATTGCTATCCGTGCTGTTAATACATAACTCTCTGGTTTACTCGTCTTCTGCAATTTGAAATATCCAGAGTGGATCTCGCTGACATTTACCAGATGTCAATGCACTTTGCTCCTCAATGGATTAAACCCATCAAGCCAGCAGGACATACTACAACCCCAACAACAGACATCCCACCTCTTTCTGTAAAATCTACAATCATTCAACACTCCGCTCCGGCAACTTCGGCACCTCTTCCAAACGTACCTTTCCCAGCACTTTCTTCTCAAACTCAAAACAATCGTTCTATTTCCCCTACCACCCGTGGAAACGGTCCTGCTAGTGCACCAAACCCTCAACCTTTGTCTTATTCTAGAGTCATCCATACTCCTCTTTCACCTGCAATTCCTGGAGATGGATATTTTCCTATGGATGGGATGAACGGAGATGGGAATCCTCATCCTTTCCGTTATACTCCTCAACAGATTTTAGGTTTGTGGGAGGAAGAAAAGGTCAAAGAAGTGCCTATTGAGTTAGTCGAGATGTTGGAGAATGGTGGGACTTTGGTCAGTCAGAATGTTGTTCGACCAGTAGGTTTGAGGGAAATGACGGAGGAAGAGAAAAAGGTGAGTCTCCTCTTGGTCTTCTCCTCTCACTTTATCTCTTTTGTCCTTTCTGTCCACATTTTGTATTGTCGTGTTCAACAAATATGTGTACCTATTGGACACTCACATATTCGTATCGCATGTACCTTACTGACTTTAAGCTTCTCGCGACATCTGTGCATCCCTCCGCTCCTACTCGCCGAGGTTTACCCGTCGCGTCGGTCGACTCCCCAACACCAAACGTGGTGCCACGCCGACAGCCTCTTCAACCGGGAAAAGAAACGGCTGCCGCTCGTGGGGCGTTCGGAGGGACTTTTGGGGCTTTCGGAAAGAGTGAAGGAGGTGCATTGGGAAAATCAAGTGGGGTGTTGAGTCCTACTGCTCCTGACGGGAGACCATCCGTTGGTTTCGGTAGTGTTGGTAAACGACCTGTGAGGGGTAAGACGGATAGTTCGGAGGGGGCTACAATCGGTGAGCTTTTTCTCCTGGTGTTCGTGAGTCCGTAAATTGATGTTTAGGTGATACTGTTCGACCTGCAACATCAGCTTGGAGGCCCTCCCGTGCGACCACCGGATCTGGAAATTTTGAAGGGGTTCTTGGTTTCGGATCGGCTCCTACTTTGTCGACCTCTGGCGAAGTGATTTCAGAAGAAGCTGATATATCTCTTAACACCGATCCTGATTCGGCGACATCCAGTGGTTGGAGGGAGAGAGCTTCGGAACCTTCGAAAGATAGGACAGAAGAGAAGAAAGAAGATTTGGTCAAGTTTGGGTCTGGCGGTGGACCAGGTTGGGGAACAGGTCAAAAGAGGTGGAGACTCGCAGCTGGTCTTGCGGCTCCAGGCCCTGTAGGAAATGTTGGAATGGAAGAAACGAACGATATTCTGGATGTTCCAAGGACGATCAATGATCATCCATCTGATTCTGTGATAGCTACTGCTTCTGCCACCCCTGTACCGGAAAGGGATGCTACGGTGCTAGACGTATCCACAGGATCTACTCGTCCTTCGGTGCAGGGTTCACCGGAACAGACACCGAAATTATCTCATACACCATTAGCGAAAGAAGATTTGGGATTGGTACAATGGTTTTATCGTGATCCACATGGAGATCAACAAGGTGAGTTACGCAATCTATCTGTCTAGTTGAAGAGTCTTGTATTTTGTGTTGTGAGCGTATAAGCTGACAACGAAGGACCCTTTACCGGAACTCAAATGCACGAATGGTATTCTCATTCTTACTTTCAAGACGAATTACCTTTGCGCCGAGACTTTGAAAATGATTTTCATACACTTGCAGAACTCAAAATCGCCACTGGAAATGCCGTTCAACCATTTTTGGCTCCACTTCGACCACGAAACCTACCACCCAATCTTCCTATCCCTAATCTCCCATTTAATCCTCCGATGTTAAATGGTCATCAACCCTCTATTCCAGACTCTTTCCGATCTCTTTCCATCTCATCCCCGACACCTCAGATGTTGCCTCAGCATTATCAAGGTATACATCAACCTTTCGTCTCTCCTAATATGAACGTAGGAGGAGGATATGGATTTCAATCTCCTATTCCATTCAGTCCTCAACAACTTCAACAAGTACAACAAGCTCCTTGGGGACCTATCGGTGGTCAACCTTATCCTAGAGTTCCACAAAATGTATACGGACAAGTAGGTTCTCCATCTCCCATCGGTTCTATAGGACCTATTGGAAGTATGGGTCAAATGGGTCCAGGAGTATTATATCCAGGTCAAGGGGAACGTAATGAGATGTTTTCACCTTCCGTCGGTGTTGGGCAAGTACCAGATTCCCCTTGGACCGTTCAACCTCAACCTTCACCAGGATATATCAATCAGACTTTAGTACCACCTCGTGAATGGGACACTACACCAATTCCTAATTCTACATATCATCGTCAATCAGAACAAGATGTACTCAATCCGATGATGACACAAATGGATAGGAGGTACGTTGAGGATCCCACCTCTGAAAAGGTTGAACAGTTAGCTTCTGAGGTGGAACGTCAAGTGGCAGAAACTATAGATTCTGTGGTTGAAGAAGCTTTGTATACTCCGGAACCGACTCAACCATCTCAAGCACCAGCAGCGACTTTACCAATCTCTACTGAACCTTTGGAATCTGTCACACCTATTTCTACTCAGGTATCATCGACGATCATACCTATTTCCAGCCAGATCGACTCTATGACGTCATCTGTCCCTCTTGACACTGTCCCTGAAAGTTCTCCTGCTTTACCTACTTCTCCCAATTCTCAATCGACTCAACGTCTCATCCCTGTCCCTCTTCCATCTGCATGGGGACCTAAACCTATCGTCACACCCGTACCTATACCTCCTGCTCCAAGTCGTAAAACTTCTCTTTCCGTCACTCCTACATCACCTCCCGTCCCGACTCCAACAAGTGTGACATCAAAGCTTCCTCCTGCTCATGCATCTCTTCCTCGTAAACCCGTAGACGCTCCTTTACCTCCTAAACCCGCACCATGGGCACCGAAAGATGATCGTGAATCCCGTCTCACTTCTTCTCCGTCTTTGAGGGAAATACAAGAATTGGAGAGTAAACAAGCGGAATTGAGGAAAACTCGTCAATCTATCACTACTACCAACCCCTCCGTCACATCTACAGGAACGATGAGTGTTTCTTCCTCTTCAGAGGAAATTCCAACTTCTATAACTTGGGGATTACCTTCTCAAACTAAACCAACTCCTTCTACTCCTATTGCCACAACGACAGCCTCAACACCGGTTTGGGGTTCAGGTGAAGGTGGTCCTAAAAAGACATTGAAGCAGATACAAGAAGAAGAAGAAAAACGTAAACGTCAATTACTTCAAACGAAATCACAACAATCTTCTACCGTTTTAGGAAATACGACTAAAAGAGGTTATGCGGATTTAGCTGCTTCTGCTCTTCCTACTCCCACAAGTACAGGTTGGAATACAGTTGGAGCTAATGGTAAACCTGTTCCTGGAGCTGGAACAGGTGGTTCTTCAATTATAATCAAACATGGTTCAAATTTACCTGCTAAACCTACCGTCACTCCTATCTCATCAATAACCCCTCATTCTACCCTTTCTCCAACAACAAATAAATCTAATGGTACTTCTACCAACACTGGTACTCCCATCATAGGTAATCCAACTCCAACTCCAACCACAACTTCGACTACAACTTCGACTGGAGTAGGAGGTAAAATCAAACTTGACGATGTTCCACCTTCATTAGAATTCTTAAGATGGGTCAAACTTTCTCTCCAAGGTTTAAACAAAGGAACAAGTACAGATGATTTAGTTCAAATGTTATTAGCTTTCCCTGTAGATCCGCCAGCTACAGACAGGGCGGGAGTATTGGAAATTATCTCAGAAGCGGTTTATAGTAGTTCGACAACTTTGAATGGGACGAGGTTCGCACAGGAATATTTCACGAGGAGAAAAGCGGATACTCAGAGGATTTTAGGGAATGGTATTGGTTCTACCGTTCCGACTGGGGGTGGTTCAGGTTTGACGGGGATAGGTTCGAGTGGTTCGGGTGGATTGGGTGGTACTGCTGCTTCTAGTGGTATGGGAGGTATGGGTGGATCAAGTGAATCGGGAGTTGGAAATGGGATAGGTGGTTGGGGAAAAGGTAGTTTAGCAGATGTTGTGAAAAGTGGGAAGAAAGAAAAAGAAGATTTAGGTTTTAAAGTCGTTAAAGCTAAAGGGAAGAAGAAGTGATCTTTTCTCTCTTCCTCTTTTTCCCCTTCTCTCTCTGTCTTCCCTGCTTTCACTCTTCTCTCTCTTTCTCCTTCTATCACTCTTCTCCCTCCTTCTCCTTCTTTCACTCTTCTCCCTCCTTCTCCTTCTTTCACTCTTCTCTCTCTCTTTCCCCTTCTTTCACTCTTCACTCTTCTCTCTTCTGTCTTTCCCCTCTTTATATTATCCTCTGTCGTTCCTCGTCTTAAGAGCACCTTGAAAGAATATCTTTAGTTATGGAACGTAAGAAGACAGGAAGTGACACGGAGGATATAGATCCAGTGATGAGGGAGATGGTCGTTAAGGGAGTGTTTGCAGTGTCCACGAAGGAGAAGAGGTTGGAGCATGTTCGATGTGGTTGAGATCCGAAATGACCATTTGGGAATGTGCAGGATTACTTCCGGGGGACAAGGGGATGCGTCAATGACTTCGAGTGGGATGGATTGGGGATGATGGAAATGATCTATCGACGATTACTCTACTCTACATATCTACTTTGCGCGATGAGTTGAGGAGGAAAAGAGTCAAGGGTGAAGGAGGGAAGTAGAGAAAGAGGAAAAGAAAACGGAGAGAACGAGGAAAAGAAAAGGGAGATGAGAAAGAGAAAAGGATGAAAGAAAGACAGGAAAGGAGTAGTAAAAGAAAGTATCAAAGTGAATATCAAAACTACGTATCGATGCATGTATGCATGGTGCATTATACTACAATTGCCATCAGTCACATTGATCATCTTGCTTTCTCCATCCTCCATCTCGTCTCCCTTATCATATCGGTCTAACTCTTCCCCACTCTTCGAACCCTCCCTCATCACCCATCATATGAAGAAACATGGACAATAAAGCGTAGTTTCACCCACAGCAAATAGCAACATCTATTTCACATTTCGCCATGCTTTTCACCCTTCCACAACCACCAATCTCCACATGTATGACTTCTACCATCCCTCACGACCCACACTTACAGATCCGAGCTTTGACTCTACACCTCATCCCAATCTTCCAAAGCGACGTTCCACCCTAATAATCCCGGATCGACAGAGTATAACCTCATCAGAGCTGCGTAATTCCATTGTGGAGCTTCGGGTGGATCTTGGATGGTCGAATCTTCATCTATGGCTTCCACTTCGTCGGATGAGTAGAATGTACGTGGTTGTCTGATATTAGCTAAGAGTTCTCGTTTCTTTAGATGTATCTCAAATTGGCCCGACGCAGCTTGTCTAGGGTGGAGTATACGTCTCTCAAATACATATGAAACGTGTGGAAGGCTGGAAATGTCAAGATGTCAGGGTGAAAGGATGAACCAGACCATACGGGAGATGGGATAGGTAGAAGATCAGAAGATTAAATGGTTGTAAAACTAGATCTGATAGACACAAAATTATGAGTAAGGGTAAAAATACGGAGGTATCATCGTCGTTAAAAAGGTGGTACGGTATCGGAGACAAACGAAACACTCACCTGCCAACCATTGGCCTAGCAGCCTCTTTCAAAACCCTTTCCATCTCATTCTCCGGCTCCATGGGGAACAAAAGATTACCTTCGTGGTCCACAGGATCACCCTCTTCGTTCCGCGGTGCTTTCTTCAGAATCTCATCAAAACTCATTGGACTCTTAGAATCCCATCCCCATCCCCAACTCGCCCCACCACCTTCGTTCGTCGAGGGGTATGTGTCGTAAACACTGAGTGTCAGTGCTATACCATACCACTCTTGTAAGTCCCGCGCTTCGCAAAGCCATGCGGTCAAAAATTCCGAGTTCAGGGGTGCATGACTGATATGTTGAGTCGTTGAAGATGCAAGGTGGAAGACAGATAAGCTGACCTCGTTGGATAAGTAGATCCAATGGAAGATGACTGCTTATCTGGAGTCGGATGAAGTGGAAACAACCTCTCCACAGCATCTCTCCCGGCTTGTCTCCAAAGATTGACCAATTCCTCTACCTTATCATCTTCCTCAGGGTCCGTAGCATATCTCACGGCTTGTTTCAGTAACAAGAGCTCCCTTTCCAGAGAGGCGATACGGCTTGAATCAGATCGGGGTGCGTGGTGATTTGAGGATGGATTGGAAGTAGTGAGAAGCCCTGTCGACCGTTTGTACTTTGGCAAATGAACAGAGGAAAAGTCAGGGAAATCGGGAATACGAGACGGTAAGGATATCCGGGATTTGCGAGGACGTGAAGAGGATGATGTGGAAGGAGAGCTGGGAGGTACGACACGAGTGGGGCGGGTGAGACGGGTAGGGACTGAGTTAGAGGGTGACTTGGGAGGTACTCGAGATGGTGGACGAAATGGTTTTTTGAGAACTCTTTCAGCGGAACTTATCATGGTCTGAAAAGTCAGCCGATGTCATCCACAAATTTCGTCATGCTGGAGGATCATGAGGTCAGTTATCCGAGTCGATGTTCCAACTCAAGTACGAAGATGGAAGCAAAGGCCCCACCTCTCGAGGCCGCTTCGTTCCCATATTGTTCCGTTTCACCTGAGCCTCTCGACGACCTCTCTCCTCAGCTAGCATCTCATCCTCGGCTTCTTCCTCATTAGTTTTTGATAAAAGTACAGCTGTGTCAGTACTCTTCATCCTAGATCTTTTCCGTGCATCCTGATCCTCTTCGTCCGTGGGGGGTTTCCGTTTGAGAAAGATCTTGCGATCTGACCTCGATTTGGAAGGTCGATCTGGTGTGTAAGAAACTATTTGACTTGGCAGTTGGGACGTTGATGCAGATGCTTCGCTATCTTGACGAGTATGCGCAATATGTGAAGTGCGCGCGTCTTGTGGAATATCTTTTGAATTTTGCAGTGTTCCATTAGCATTGGTCTGATTGACGAGATTATCTTGCGTCGTGAGAGCTTCTTGATCGAATTCTGTGTTGACTCCGTCAGTCTTGACATCATTTTCGACGATTTCTGTGGAAAGACTGGTAGTTGGATCTTGAGGTCCTACTTCTTTTCTTGTGTGAGGGTAAAGATACCGGTACAAGTGAGGAATGAGTACGGGCAACGTCAACGGGATAAAAATCGGAGGTCCGAACGGAAGAGAGGAGGTAAAATTCGACACAACGGCTGGATTGAGTATGTAAGTCAGAGAATAATCGAATTTGAGGAGGTAGGTATTCTGTACAGTTAATGACATTGCTTCCACGTCGGATCTCAACCGAGGAAGAGAAGCAAGGGAGACGAGACAGCCCTATGTGGAACTCACTGTGGTGGACGAAGAGTTCTGACATTTGTCCTGAGTGGGGTCAGAGTGAATAATGAGCGGGTGATGAGAAGTGTGAGTGGGTGAGATGTCAGCGAGATGAAAGATTGGGGGGTACCATGGGATGAGAGCAGTGAGAGGGTCCCAGTGAGGCGACATGATGAGGCGGAGAAGAGGAAAAGATGGTGAAGAGTGGGAGAAGGTTGTCGGGGGGGAAAAGTGACGTCTGAGGGGGTCCGTGCACTTTCCCCCACCCGACTGGACCCCCACTGGAATGATTCAAGCATCGTATCATGATCCTATCCCGCATGTCATATGTCAGCACATCAGCACGCTGTATGATATCCCACGCATCAGCATCAACGTGAACATGAACACTTACATGAACGAACAGCGTGATGAAATGGCCCCGGATGAAAAGCCGACAATGCCCGAAGTAGGAATATGTAGTGACGAGTTGTTCCATTACATCACCTCTGACCTTCCACCTCATCACCATCATTCCTCGCCACCTCTCCACCCTGCTTCTTCCCTCTGCTCTGTTCCCTCCTGCTCCCTCTCACAGCCACCGTAACATAGCGACAAGCTACCCGCACTTCAATACCGCATCCTCCGTCGATATCGGGTCACTGACCGACCTACCTCTCCTCAGGCCCCTCACCCTAACCCTGCTGACCTTCCCCCGCTGAAACATCGGCTCGTTGTGTGCGTCCATACCCACACCTCCTGACCGCTCACCGCTCACCGGAACTAGCTATCACTCACATCCCGGATCATACTTTCTCTCCTTTTCTGCGTTTCAAACTCGACTCGAGGACCAAAAGGAGAGAGTTGATTGGGCCCTCGGTGTCCCGGTGACGGTCATACCCTCGGATTGCGACCTACCTGTGAGTCTTTCGGCTCATCACCATATCATGATGAGGCATTAACCTCGAGGAGTTAGAGGAATATCGTTGGAAGTCTTCTCCTCTCCCTCCTTAACCTTGACAGATCATGTAAGATCGTCAGAGTATAGCCTCAGTCGTACAGAATATCATCAACCTCTGCTTTCATCCAGCGCCCGACTTTTGACGTACTCTCTGTCCCGTCCACACAACCTCCCATTGAAATCATCCCGTCGTTCAACTATATATCTACTCAATTCCATCTCTTCTCCTTTCTTTCTTCATAGCACAAACATATACCTCTATCATACGCTGACACCTGGCTTCCTTTGCCTTACCGTACCCTGTCACCAACTCTCCCAATCTCGTCCCAATTATGAACCAACGAACGACTCGCAGTGTCAACAAGGATAAACGTCATCAGTCGTACCCTACTCCCCCCACTTCACCTGAACTAGACCCTGTCGTCTCTACCACATCTGCTGTGCCTCCCTTGCTCCCTTTGTCCCACTCTACTACTATACCAAAGCATTTCCCTCCTTCGCGTCCATCGCCACCGCCAGCACTGGCCCCGACTCCTGTAACTCCTGCCTCTATCTCATCTCAGAACACGACGACTCTCAAAGCTTCACTCCACCCAAATCCTCCGACTTACGCCACGGTCAAGAGCTCCCCCGGCTCTACGCCTTCCTCGAGTCGAGCAGGTCTTCCCACCTCCGTCGCCACTACGTCAACCATTCCTACGGAACACAACAGAGACTCCACCACGTTTCGCCACCGTAGCGCCTCCATCACCAACCAAACTGAAAAGGACAAGATGGACACAGTCAACATACCCGCTGACAACGTGCCAGCGGAGATGAAGGCGTGCGAGCAGATTTTAAAACGGGCGAAGGAGTTGCGGAGAGCGGATCCAGCCATCAGTTATTGGTGTGAGTGATCAGATTCTATTTCTCTTTTCTCTGTATTTCTTTGTCATCAGACCCTTCGCACACATGTTCTTCTGCCCCGCGTGAGGGACCAACGCGCTCTCATGTGATCCGGTTATGGGGCTTGATTACACTACCTCACCCTTTTCAGATAGATATTGCCACCGCTAGCCCGTTCCATCGAAGCCTCGCAGCAACCTACACCCTCACCTTTGCTCAAATCATAATCATGACTGATCATCAGGTTGCTTCTCGGCCGCTCAGAAAGCTCTCAGCCTGCAGAATCGCTCTGCAGAGGGAACAAAATTCGCGATGTCTCTTTTGGATGCGTTAGAGGCGGTACGTGGGACAGAAGCTTCACATATTCCATATTCCAGGCGGATCCTCACAAAACGACCCTTACAATCCTGCCGTTGATGACGTGCTCAGTTCTGACCCAAGCTAATCTATAGATGAAGAAGATCCTCAGCAACCACGAGGCTGTCACCAACGAGGCAGCTGGGGCCGCTTATGTCGAGAACTTTGCTTTGAAAGTCTTCATGTCGGCGGACAATGATGATCGGAATGGGATCACAGGCAAGGGCACCATACGGAAGTTTGTCGTTGCTGGGCAGTTCATTGAGGTGCTGCGGTGTTTCGAGAATGGCATGACTGAGGAGGTGAGTTCTTTTTCCATGCTCTATGCTCAATGAATATGCCTCGGTGTGTACACCCAAAGTCAGCATAGGCCGCTTCGGACTTGCCTCACCGTCGTCAAGGAATCATCCGGCTGACGACGCAGATGGAGCAAAAGCTTCAATATGCCAGATGGAAAGCCGCAGACGGTGCCAAAGCCCTTCGAGAGGGACGTACACCCATGTCTGGTCCTCGTACGTTCTATCCTCGACCTCCATAGTTTTGATTCGCACATTGACCAATAGCTATTCCTGACGAACCCGAGCTCCCTATGTTGCCCAGCTTTCCTTCTGAGTCACCAGGCACAGTCTCCACCCAGCTCTCTCCTCTAGCAGATCGAACTTTCACAACCACTCGCTCTCCCCTCCCTCCCAACAACGCAAATTCAACCCTCTCTCCAAACATGCCGTCTCACCATACTTCATCCCCTATGATCTCACCCAAACCTTCCCCAGCGACAAACAAGCCCACTTTGCCTGCTATCGACATCCACGATCGACCTGAACATCGCACTCCGGTCCGTTTAGATTCGTCCAATTCTGGAGCCTGGTCTACCGTCGCCACCCCAGGCGTGAGGGAAGAAGATGATGAATTCCCTGACATGTCGACTCCTCGTGGACTTGATCTATCTTTATCCCGCCCCTCACCTTCCGTCCCGGCCTCTGCTTTACACAAGACAAATGGACGGGGCAGTCCCACGTCACCCACGGACACGTACCCCCAAGGAGAAAAGAAGAATGTGAGGTTTATGGGTCCTGACGGAGCACCTTTATCGCCAGCTACGACTCATCTGACTGTGGAGTCGTATGATGCTCCTGCTGCCCCTCCTCCAACTACGTTTGAGCCTTCCCCTACTAGTCCGGAAAGAAGACCAGCGCAACTAGCTCCTGCCCAGTCCGGTGCAGGAGGGTCTGGCGCGCTAGGGCACGATGGGCGTTCAAGAAGAGGGAGTAACGCCTCGGTCTCCACCATGCGTCCAAGTCAACCTGTGGGTCATACTGGAAGTAACGGTGGTATAGTCCACGGTCCCGGCGGTGCTCACAGCGGAAATGGACTGGGGATTACCAATACATCGTCAAAGAAAACCTCCCCACAAGGAAGCTCTTCCACAATCTCACCCCCAATCACGACCGTACCGTCGATCCAACCACCACCACCACCACCACCCCCTTCTTTGGTTTCGTACGCCGGTCCTACTCCACCTCCCAGTGCCCAACCTTCAGCATCTATGAGTCATAACAACCACATGGGACAAAACATCAATCTCTCTGGTAGAGGCACGACAAATGCACAGTGGAGTAACGGGACGGGTGTGATTACGACCAAGCAAATGTCCGAATCGCAGAAACATGCCAGATACGCGGTGTCAGCCTTGGATTATGAAGATGTGGAAAGTGCCAAAAAGGAGTTGAGAGCTGCATTAGGTCTTTTGGGGGGTTGACAGGACATGTGAAGTTGTTGTCATTGGGTTCTTGTCGTGTGACGCAGGGCTCTCACTATGCGACATGATCCTTGTGTGATATCAACAACTTCAGAGGTCGACTTTTCCGGGTTCTGGGCCGAGTCGTCGACACTTCCCGATGTTTATAATGTTTTCAGTATCCGATCATTCATCACGCCACGATATCAATATCTCTGGGCGTTACACGAGACGTTTGATTACCGGTGAAGAGCTATGAAGTATGGGAAGATGTGTGGGATATAGTTATTCGTGTGAAAAGTGCTGGTCGATGTGATCATGAAAAGTGTCGAAATTATTGTCAAGAATCGGAATCTATTGTCAGACCAATGCGCAAGAACATCTGCCCTTAGAGGTCCTCAAAACTTACTCATTCACCACCTATCCTTATCTTTCATATCTCAAAAACCTCGATTGCCTACCGGCTCACTCTCATAGTCCAGTCGCTTCATCTACCTACCTATGGTCCTATCGATGGATCTAACATCGACTCTACGGGAAGTATCGTCATATTCAAGCTGTCTCATCGATCCAACTACTTTGTATACGCAAATCTCAACCGTACAATCTCAAGAGGGGAACGAATAACCGCTTGGTGGCGGTGTGGATTATCGATATGGATCATGTGATCGTATAGATTTCGTGTAACTACAAATGGAGAACGTGTATTGTAGGGAGTTATTAGACGAGTGAGTGTTTGTCAAATGCATAGAATTTCAAATGCCTCTCTTCACCTCCGGCGTCGAGATCCGTACCGGAGACCGTGGTCCGTGTTGGAAGTCGAGATCCGTCGAAAATGACATGATCCGTGAGGCGATGCCACAAAGTTGGTTTCTCACGCTGGAGAAAGGAGCGATTCAAACTGCGGGTCAGAAGATGGACAGGGTCGTGGGAAATATATATACTGAATAGAATGAGTATGGGACAAGGAATTGAATCCATTTTTGCCACCCAACTTGGTTCTTGAGACATGGCCGATCTTCCATCTTTTACTACGCAAATCATCACTGGTACTGTTCTAGGTACTGCTCTGATAGCTTATGGATGGTCTCGGTTGTTCTCTACCCCACAAACTCGCTTCAACTATGAATTAATGTGGCAAACAGATGCTGATCATAAATCAAAAATGCATCTCAATGTGAGTTTTGACCTCTTTCCTTCCTTGAATCCTATGAAGTACACACAATGTTCTTCATACTTTCAAGTTCCACCTGTCTTGCACAGCTGAATTCTATCTTGAACAGAGAGATACAGTAGCACTGGTACATGGTACAGTACAAGTACAGATTGAGGTATCACTCACTGACAAGCAGATCCGAGTATCCCATAAGGACCCGCCTTTGGAAGAAACAATGGTGACCTCAAAAGCTTTTCTTTATCCCAATACCTTTGTCTGGGGCGAGGAGCCAACAGAGCAAAGTAAGACAAGTCTGGTCAGTAGGTTCAATGCATCAATTTTGGACCTTGAAGCTAGCATTCAACGGTTGGAGACTACAATAGGTAAGACATTTGAGGTGGTGTCATTTCAAATTCCATTTCTGATATACATGAAGATAGATGTTCCGAATCGAGATGATGAAACAATCCAGAATATACGGAAGGAGATGGAGATATTGGGTCTGCAAAAGTTTGTGACGGAAGTGGCAAAGGAAACAGAAAACGAGAAATCTATGGGTGGTAGGCAACTGATTGAAGACACCACAGCTGCCAATCCCACGGAACAATAAGGACATGGAGATCTTGTGTTGAGTAATAATACTACTGATGAGGATCATGAATGACTGTGATATTCTGACTTGTCTGACTGTGTGATTGACTGCTCAACAGGGTATCATTCATTGTTTGCTGATAATTAGATGCTAATACAGAGGGGAAAAAGAGCATGCATCAATTCTACATGTCTCTATACTTATCACATTCCACTCACACGCAGTAAACCAGAGACGATCGAATAGAGTTCAAAGGATAAGTTGAACGGAGAAATATTCGACGGAAGGGGTAATAATCTAACGGCGGTTTGGCCGTCCTGGGCCGATTCTATCGGCTAACATTCATGTCCCCTACAAATCGTATCACTGAGGATTGAATGACAAATCAACCAAATTTTCCCAGAGATTTTTCTGCAGTTATCTCCATCTTCGTCTATCCTGCTTCCTCATTATGTCATAATTTGTACCAACTCCTGGTACCCACATTCAACAGGAGCGAAGGACCAGCATCCTCCGGCTCGAGAGTTGTTTCAATGGTTCCCCGTAAGTCAAGATCCGTGCAGAGACATGATCCGTGGAAGGCTTCCACGACGCGGATTTTGGGCGATTTCCGCTTCCCACGCCAGAAAAAAGGAGGTTTGAGAGGGGGATTCATGACCTGTTTAGGTTATATAGTCTTAGTGATACAAATTTATCTCTATTGAGATCCTCTTGCCACTCACACCTTCTTGAACCAATACAAATATGGCAGATTCAAGTGAGACAGCAATGATACATACAACATCGCTGATGTCGTTTCTTCATCACCTGAGAAACCCACGTTTCCGTGCGGAAGTGACTGACAGTTATTGGGAAAATGAAACATTGTGTACCACGGTATGTTTCTCATCTCTCTATCCTCTCTGATTCTCATGATCACCAATGAAATATACCGTTGTAAAATATTTGTGGTCAAAACCATGCTGATCATGATTCACAGATAATTTTGTTTGAGTTCAAACCTGAACCAGGAGCAACCCTATGGGAGCCTCCTGAAAGTACAATAAATATGAAATGGGGACACCCAACAATGGATGATTCAATCCGTCAGACAGTATCTGCCTTTTTCAACCTTGCTTTGCACAGGGTTGCTTCTCAACTTGAGGAATTCAGAAATCAGAAACAGATTAGTAATATGACACTGAAATCAACAGTGATAAGTAGAATGTCTTTTTCTCCGGACCAGCTCGCAAACGCCCACAGAGATGAAGTGGGGGTAAGATCTGGCTCAGTACAAAGAGCCCTGACAATCTACTCAACATGGTTGACGCAGGATTTATCAGGACAATGGCAAGAATATCAGAGACAGATTCGGGTAAGAGCCTATTTGGAGTCGCACGGGGCGGGCCCGCAATGACCTAATTGTCAGTGGATTAACTTCCCCCAAGCCTGTTCTTCCATTGTTCTGATTATTCAATAATCATGATGAGGAGGTTGTCTGTGATTTACTGCACAAAATGATGGAGTTCACGATTGATTGCACTGAGTAAAGTTGTGTCACAACCAGTACTTACATACAGTACATACATATGTAGCCTTTTGGAGCATCTACATATGTATGTTCACGGGCTTGCTACCGGTCATGACCAGAACTTACTACTGCTGTTGGGAGTGTTGCCGCATGATTACGAGTGTATCAGTTTGACACGTCAAGCTATGTGTTTTTCAAATGATAAGGTATCAATCCTCTCCAGTGGCCCAGCGACCATTGGGCGGCCGATTGAGTCTCTCAAGCATGATCGGATATTGAATCAACGGGATATTATCAAAGATTCTTCTATAGGATTGTTTGTGTTTCCTACACTCATCATTCAACATCCTTCTCTCATGTCCTCTGATCAATCACGTATATGTACTAATACTATCCTTATTTGACGTATTCCGACGGCACGGGACTCAATTACTTGATTAGTGGTCGGTCCCCCGGCTCGCCATAGGCCAAGAGCCGACGTCGAGACATGATCCGTGCGGAGACATGATCCGTACCAAGCGGGATTTTGAACTACTTTCACTTCTCATGGTGAGAAAAAGGAGGTTTGAGATGAATTCAAGACCTGCTAGGGTTATAAAGTGTGAGAATCAGGTTGGTGTCTCTCAACAATCCTTGCCACTCATATCTTCTCAAGACACAATGAGTGGGGTAATTGGATATATTTTGGACAACATCCTTTCTTGCAATGAAGTGGACATCACGTCAAATGAAACTGCGGCTGTACCTGTGGCTGGCACAGTATCTGATTCTCAACGTCAACTAAATACTCAGCCACGTTTCCATGCAGGAGTGATCATGACTGATTGGGATAATGAAGAAAACACCTATATCACAATGGTATGTCCTGCATTTCTTGACACCTTGATCACTGTTCAGGCACATGTAACTCCTGATTTGAGATATTCACGGTCCCCTCCACCATCTCCCTGAGCTTCTTAACCTGTTTGTTATGAGATGTTCTATGTCATTCCTGAAACAGGTAGATTGCCTGCAGTCTACTCATTGAGAGTTATCTATAGTTTTGCCCAGGTGAAGAGGATTCTCATTCAATTCCTCAAACAGTATAGTATCTTTGCCATGACCTTTGGGGATCAAAGTACAACATATATCACAATCCTGACTCATGTGTTTTATACTTCTTTGATCTGATTTTGGGGATTGACAGTCACTGACATTTTGTAGATCCAATTGAGTGATACTATACCTTCATGGGGAACTCAAACAATATGGAAACCTGCCCCACTCAATGTGTCTATCCAATGTGAAGTCCCAACTCCTAATGAGATGATGTACTTGAATTCTCATGTGTTTTCGCTTATAATTAGATGATAATACAGAGGGGAAAAAGAGCATGCATCAATTCTACATGTCTCTATACTTATCACATTCCACTCACACGCATAAAACCAGAGACGATCGAATAAAGTTCAGAGGATATGTTGAACCGAGAAATATTCGACGGAAGGGGTAATAATCTAACGGCGGTTTGGCCGTTGTAGTGCTGGAAGGTGAAGGAGTGATAGTCGGGGGTGATTAGGACACGTGACCAGGAGACCTTCTGAGAGTGGCACACCGGAGAAATCACATTGGGAATTCAATCATATCTTATACATATACTTATACAGTACTTTTCAGTATCATCACATAGTTTGATACTTTGATACCTTGATACATATCATTATCACCCGAAGCCTATCCCAAACCCACTCGACCCTAGACAACACTACCGATCCTACATCCACCCCCGCCCAGGGAGGCGTTGCTCCCTGGTAGCCCGGACCTCCAGACCCGAGGGTGGACGGGTCCCTCTTGACGACAGAAGGAGGGTGGTCCGAGGGTGCTACACCGTCCTGGCCCGATTCTATCGGCTAACACTCCCCCACGGGACAATGCACGACTCTGCAGTAGTCCCGGACGATTTATCGATGGCGACGGCGAGGTTTGTGATGATGTAGAAGGTAGTAATGATGAAATATTGAGTGTTATGTGTGTGGTAGTAGTGGTAGGTGAAATCGTGAAATGAATTTCGGTGGGGCCCCGTATTGCGGGGCTCCACTCTGACATGTGACTACCACTCACCACTGACGACTCACTCTTCTCTATCTTTCCTTTTACTTCATCACTTTTATCTCCAACTAGTGTGCCAACCTGTCAAATTGACAGGCCTGTCTCCTGCCTCTCAAGCTGACTCTGTGGACCCGTGGAATCTCTTCCTCTCACCCGCACTTTCCACTTGTGCACCTGTGAACCTCTAGTCTCTCTCTCTCTATCTCTGTCTCTGTCTCTGTCTCTGTCTCTGTCTCTGTCTCTGTCTCTGTCTCTCCCCCCTATCGTCTCGCTTTGACCCTGCGGGCTTCGCCGCATCCCACGTGGTTTGTCTCCACGTGGTTTATCTCGAGGGTAAATCTGTTATTGTAGTAGATTAACGGTATGTCCACCTTTCGTCTTTCTCCACTTTTATCTCTCATTTCTGACTCTCTGAACTTCCCTTTATCCTGTCTGCTTCTTAAAACTTCAGGTTTGCTAGTAAAATCCCGAGAATCGATGAATTTCCTTCGTGGTCCTGGCTGACGAGTGTCACGAACTACGTCGTGACACCTCGATTATTCCACCAACAATGACCCTCCTTTGACCATCAAAACCCCCATCACGTCTTAACCTCTTTACTCTACACGTAACTCAGGACTTCTGAGACCAAGTACGGCGAAGTTAGACGGAGTTAGGCTAGGTAGGGACAATGGGAGCAGAAGTACGGCGAAGTTAGAAGGAGTTAGGCTAGGTAGGGACAATGGGAGCAGAAGTGCGGCGATGTTAGGCGGAGTTAGTCTAAGTAGGGACAATGGGAGCAGAAGTACGGCGAAGTTAGACGGAGTTAGGCTAAGTAGGGACAATGGGAGCAGAAGTGCGGCGAAGTTAGACGGAGTTAGGCTAAGTAGGGACAATGGGAGCAGAAGTGTGTCACGAACTACGTCGTGACACCTCGATTATTCCACCAACAATGACCCTCCTTTGACCATCAAAACCCCCATCACGTCTTAACCTCTTTACTCTACACGTAACTCAGGACTTCTGAGACCAAGTACGGCGAAGTTAGACGGAGTTAGGCTAGGTAGGGACAATGGGAGCAGAAGTACGGCGAAGTTAGACGGAGTTAGTCTAAGTAGGGACAATGGGAGCAGAAGTACGGCGAAGTTAGACGGAGTTAGGCTAAGTAGGGACAATGGGAGCAGAAGTGCGGCGATGTTAGGCGGAGTTAGTCGAAGGAGGAAGAGGATGGCCGAGGGCTCGGGGAAGTTGGACGAAGTGCGTTGAAGTACGTCAAAGCGGTGCGTTGAAGTACGTCAAAGCGCGAGAGGGTTGGATGAACGTCTAGGAGGAGTAGATAATATTAGCTGAGAAGATCGCTGAAGTTCTTCAGCGATCCTTGATTGTTGTCAGTAGTAAAAGACAGATAGAGATAGCTATAAATCAAGATACATCGCCATCAGTAGATCAAAACCCTAGTTAGAGTAACTACGCCGAAGTACGCCGTAGTTACACCCCTTTCGACGTCTGCGCCCTCCTGGTTGGGTGAGACATCGACTCAGAGCGTGAAGTTAGCCGAGGTTCGTCGACCGTCGGTCTATTAAGAAGTAGTTGTTCGACGGCCGTGACAGTATCAAGGATCGCTCTTACCGACGACCCGTGCGAACCTCGGAGAAGTACGAAGATAATATGGAACCAGAAAGAAGAATTACACGAGGCATGAGTAGGGATGGAGACAGGATGGAGGAGAACGAGAGGAGAGCATTGGAGGAGCTTAGCAGAGCAATGGGGCAGGACCTTGGAGTTGAGGATAGTGTGGGGGGGTCAATTCAAGGAGATGAGTTCGTTCCACCGGTGCTTTCTAACCCTCCTTCTCCTCCGTCTAATGCTCTCCCACCTGTGGGGTCCCCACTTGGATCAGACCAAACCCCACGCCCAAGAGAAAACACTGGAAGTACGGCGAACTTGGGAGAAGAAGGAACACAAGGGGTGGTGTTGGCCTTGATGCAGATGGTGGCGAATATGAACAAAGACATGATGGAGGAGAGAAGACGTAGGGAGGAATGGGAACAGAGAAGAGAAAGGGATACAGTGGGCGGGATTGCAGAAGGGATATCAGAAGGAGTGAGGTACGCCATGGGACGGCAAACTTCGGCGACCCCAAGCGTAGTGGGCGAACAACGGAAAGGGATAAAGCTACCTAACCCAGACCTATGGAGAGGAGATCGGAACAAGTTAACCGCCTTTCTGTCTGAGTGCGACGTACACTTCGAATTGAACTCTCATCTTTTCCCCGACGACACTAAGAAAGTCTTTTTCATGATCTCTCATCTACGCGAAACACCTCTTCTTGCAGTGCAGCCCGATCTATCCAAAAGACCTCTTCCTGAGTACCTCACGACACACGATCAGTTCGTTAAGTACCTCAAGACTAACTTTGGTGATCCAGACGAAGAAGGAACTGCGGCCCGACAACTTAACGACCTCAAGCAAACCGGGTCTGCTTCGGACTACTTCTCCGCCTTTCAACGACATGTTGCGATTCTCAAGTGGTCTGATGATGGAAACCTAGTTGACCGAGCCAAGAAAGGACTAAAATCGCACCTTCTAGATGAAATCGCAAGACACGGTAGATCGTTTGGGACTGTAAAAGAGCTATTGGAGTTTGTGATTCCCTTGGACAACCGCCTGTGGAGGAGACAAGTGGAGAAGGAGGCAGAGAGGAAAAGGGAAGGAGGGATAAGGACAACGACAGTGGTGGAAAGTCAGAGGACGGAGAAGAAAGAAGAGAAGAAATGGGAAAAGGGGCAACCTTCGGCGCAGGGTGGTGCCCAGGCGGC